CAGGAAAACTGACGTTTCGGGTCGGGACCCTTCTTCAAAAATTTCTGCAAAAGGGTCCTGACCCAAAACGTCAGCTTTCCTGCTCCTCTGATGCTGCCTGGCCTGCTGTGTTCCTCCAGCTCCAGACTGTGTCATATCAGCTGCTCAAGCTTGTTCTGCCATTCAATAGGATAATGGCTGATCTGATTACTCGACAATCTTAACTATCCTCATTATTCATTCACACCCTTGTTTATCAAGAGCTTTCTATCTCCACCTTAAAATATTCAAACATTCTTTCATAATCTTCAAAATAAAATCCTCAACTGTCTTAAATTAGTAATCCCATATCTTTAAAACTGTGACCCATAATTCTAGATTCTCCCACAACAGTAAACATACTTTCCATATCAGTCAAGATAACTCATGATCCTATATGTTTCAACTGAATTGCTCTTTCTCTTCTAACTACAGTGGCCAAATGTATAGCTGTCCAACCTTTTTTTCACAAGTTAACCCATCCAGTCTAGGTTTTTGTCTAATAAACCTTGTCTGAACTTCTTCCAATATATTTATATCCTTTCTTAAATAAGACGACCAACACGGTACACAGTATTCCAGAGGTGAATTCACCAATTCCCTATGTAATTGAAGCATGACCCTATTTTTGTATTCAATTCCCAATAAATTGTAAGATTCTATTAGCTTTCCAATTAGTTGCTACACATGCATAATAATGTTTTGCAATTTGTGCAGTGGAATACACAGAACCTTCTGTATTCCAGAGCCTGCAATCTTTCACTATTTGGATAAAATGCTTTTTTATTCTGCCTAATAAAATAGGCAATTTCATATTTTCTCAGATCTCACTACATTTCTCAGATTTTTGTTCACTCAGTCTATCTACGTTCTCTTCCAGCCTCCCTATGCCCTATTCGCAAATTATTTTCCTACCTTTCTGTGTTATACTTGCAAATTTAGCAACCTTACTCTTCAGTCCCTTCATTCAAGTCATTTATATGAAAAAGTATATAAAAAGTTGAAGGCCCTGCACTGATCCATGTGGCTCAACCCTTGCTACATCTTACCAACCAGAAAATGATCGATTTATGCTTACTGTATTTCTTGTTAGCTAGAAGATGTTCTGTCCATGTCAACACATTATTTTTAATAACCTTTGATGTGGCACATTATTCAACAGATTCTAGAAATCCATGTACATATGATACATCAGTATTCTCTTACCCACAACACCCTTCTTTTTCAAGGAACTCCAATAAATTGGTTAAATAGGATTTTCCTTTTACAAAACCAGGCTGACTCTGCCCTATTACTTGAATCTATCCAACTGCCCAGTTATATCCTCTTTAATAGCAGCTTCTAACATCTTCCCTATGACAGATGTCAAGCTAATTCGGCTGTAGTGTCTTGCTTTCTGTTTCCCTTCCTGATAAATAAAATCAGTTACATTTTCCAACTCAAAGAACCTTCCTTGAATCAAAGGAATTTCAGAAACTTGGAATCAATGCATCAACTATCTCACTAGCTAATTCTTTAAAAGCCAAAAGATGAAGACCATCATGACCCATGGATTTGCCAGTTTATAGTTCTAACAATCTGCTCGCTACCACTTCTGTGGTATTTGTAGTTTTGAGTTCCTGCCTCCCATCCACTTCCTGATTTATAACTATTTTTGGGATGTTATCTGTCTATTCTATAGTGAATACTGATGCAAAGTATGCAAAGCTTGTACAATGCATCTGCCATCTCCTGTTTTCGCTGACATGTACTTTCAGACCTATAGAAACGCTTACCAATCTGTTTCTATATTTCTGGTTAGCTTTCTCTTGTGCTGTATTTTTCCCCTTCTTGTTAATCCCTAGTCCTCTCTTCGCTTTTTCTTAATACTGTGCCCAATGTTCTGACCTGCGATCCATTTTTGCACAACTCTAGATATTTTTAATCACCCTGTAGACATATTATAAACACAAGTCAGATACTTTTTTTAAAAAAATTAACCATAGATGACAGGTTTCACCTCCTTAAATATTTTTCTCTTATAGAAACATATGTACTGTGTTTTCTGAAATATCCCCTTAAGTCTACTACTTATTGACATGCCCCTTAACAAAATTTACTAGTGCACTTTAGCTAACTTTGCTTCCATGCCTTCATAAGTGCCCTTATTTAAATCTAAAATACTAGTCCTGTGCCTTTCAATATTCATGTTCCACTCTATATCATACTGCAGCCATGTATCTGAAATGGCTGTCAGATTACAGTAATGTATTTCTACTTGCTCTCAGTTCACCTGTTGTGTTCCAAATGCTATGTGGCATTGGATAGAGTTGTTAGTTTTGTTTTCTTATTATGTTCCTGGCTCCAGTAATTGTAGCAGTTATATTTATAATCTTTTTAAATAACTTGAAATGGCTTACATACTAAAATTAAAAACAGACACAGCTATTAATAACAGTATTAATAACTCATATGGTCAGATTTTAATATCTAGCTCACTGAGCAGTATTTAAAACATATCATTGGGTTGACGATCACCCTATGATAGTGATTGTGTACACTACACCAGACCTTTGAGTCTTTTGAGAGGGGGAAAAATTTAATCTTCAGTTTTCATTTGTCCTATAAATGAATTGTGAGATGATCAAACAATCCTGTTGGCTGGCTCCAAACTGTACTGCTTATTGTAACAGTTTTAAGTAAAGGATTTTATTTCATAAATACTGTTGTTGCAGGAACAATGTTATACACAGCAAACAACCAAATATTACTGTCGCAGAACTAAGTGCAGGTAAAACTCATTAAGTTACAAATGCTTTGGATTGGAATGTGCAAAGGGGCCGTTTAAGGTTAGTGAACAAACAGCAATTCTGAGTGTGTTGATGGCTGGACCCCAGTTAAAGTTCCACATACAGGGTGAATGTTTTGGGATGAATGTACAAAGACCAGTTTAATGTAAAGAAAAAGAATGGTTAGTTTGTAGAGGACAAAACAGCAAGATCAAAGGGGGATATGTACAAAGATTAAAAAAAACAAGACAGAGTTAATATTATTGTGAATAAGAAGGCATGAGGAACTGTAATAGTGGTCAGATGGGAGAACAGCTTTATTAATGAGTACAAAGAATAGCTGGGGACTATTTATTTTTACAATACATGGACGGTTTGGTCTTATCAAAACTGGAAAAGTTTTATGTACAGTTAATTTTTACGGTCCTGATAAAACATTTCCTAAAGATTTTATCCAAACTGAAATATCATACCTCTGCAGGTCTGCAAGTGGCATTAACTCTCACCATGTCTCCTTGCTTCAGCAAATTGCTTTCATGTAAACGTAAACACAGTAAGTCAGCAGCACTGTTGGATGGAGCACATGCCAAAATCCGACTGTCTGGTAAAGTAAAATGGATCTAAACAGAATCAAAAGACATTTTACAATTTGAGTATTGAGTTTGCCCCATCCTGGCCAATGAAATAAGCTAAAAATTAATCTTCTGTTGAAACAGCAATTTGCTATTCTGAAACATCATGCACAGCCCCTATCACATTTGATTATCAGTGTCCAAGGTTAAGGGTCCAATTGAGGGAGTGTCAAGTTCCCTAAGCCAGTTGTCATAAGTTTTTAAGCAAAGCCTGGGCATATTTACAATTTTCTTATGTCATAAAGTAAATCTGACTTAACAAAATGCTATCAATGAATGTATTTCTTGAAAATCCAGAGTTAAATAGTCGCATTAAATTAGGGCTGGTCTGATAGAGTGAACGTGCTGCACTTCCACAGCGTGGCAGCCAATGGGTTTATATCCACGTTTCTGCAGGAGGTGACTTATCAATAACAGCTGTGATAGAAAGTGCAAAGTCACCGCTAGTACTGATGTTAATGGAGGCAGAACAGGAAATTGCAGGCCAACTCAAGAATATGAACTGGGAAAATATACGAGTGTCCTGGTGCCCCTGTTAGAAGAGAGCATTAACTTACTTTAACTACAGGACAAATGCATTCACACTTACAGAACGTGTATCACGAGAGACTGTGACCAGCTGCAATGTAATCTTAAAACACGCTAATTCCTATAAATACCAATATAGGGAATACCTGCAAGATTGCTTCAAGAATAGTGACTGTTTTTCCAGTGCCAGGAGGTCCAAACAGGATATATGGTGTTGGTCTGCATTCACCACAGAGGATCCTCTTGACTGCAGATTTTTGACAGTCATTCAGAAATGAGTTAAAGAAGTTATCTTCTCGCCCATTGGATTGTTTGCCTGTATAATTTCCTCGTATATTATGATGGATGAAATTGGAGGCAGTTTTAGCATTTAAATATCTACCTAGAAAGTGTTAAAATGGGTTAGCATAATTCACAAGAAAATTAAATGCAACAGGCTGAATTTTAAAAACTTAATCCCTAGCCTAGACTGAGTTAACTGATTTTACAGAAGTTTCTTTAAAATTAGCTTGGATCAGGTACGTGCAGAGATCCAGAAAGCTTTTCTGCTTCCTTTCTCTTGTTTGGAAATGTAAAACATTACAATGCTGGGGCCAGGGGAAGGTGCTGAAAACAGCCAAAACACAGTCTCAAAACACCGAGCTAATTGCAGTATGATTTTCCAAAGTCAGCTGCAAAATGAATGTTGACCTCCTGCATAGAATTATATGGCATACGTTTTAAAAGAAAGTCTCAAAGATAGATCAGCCAGCTTTCCAAATTCCTATCTGGATTAGATACTGTGTATGTTGCAGCAAGTGTAATAATGAGATAATAATTGTAATAATATCTTAATCAGAAACACAGTAACTCTGGAATTCAAAATGTCACACTGTAAAAGTTTTACTTCTGTACTCAACACAAGTGAATTTCATAACTACAGGTCTGTGACATCCAAGTCTGTGATTTGCACTCACCATCACCAGTGTGTGCAGCAACTGATAATGCTTCAGACGTACATATCATTTCAGTTGTCCTTCCCTTCAAACCTTTGCTTTCACCATCTTGGCACCAGCTCTCCTTACCTGTACAGGAACTATTTAATTTTGCATCCACATCTTTTTCCTGAAACAGTGTAGGAATACAATTTCACAGCGAGCGAGTAAAAGATGTCAGAGACAGATTTACATACTACACTTCTCAACTGGCCATTTAACAGAGGCTACCAGAAGCCTCAAAAACATCTAATGTTAAATCTATTTTAAAAAGAACAGGGCACGAAATATAACATTTTCCATTTACTGTATTGTTAGTCTGAGCACACACAGTAAACTGTGAATATACTTCTAAACAATCATATTCAATATTTTACACTAAAGTCAGAATTGCGCCACTTTGTTTTATTGCAAAAACAATTGACTTCCTTGTCACCGCTTTAACATACTGTTTAAATAGATAATATTAACAAAAATAATGGACAATTGGCTAGGTAGACTTCCTGTGTATTGCACACTGGTTTCATTCCTTTAAGCCATCAAGTTCAGTAACTCTCCACGCAAATTTTACCTGACAAGGCCTACATTATCTATTTGTATAAAGAAAAAATCTATTTAAAGTTCTCAACTTTATAAGGGAAGAAAAATGAAATCCGTGTCCCCTCGCAGCAATTAAAATCTGAAATGGTAAATGCTCACAAATAGTTTCTGTTTAAATTCAGAACCTGAAGGATTTTGACTGATTGCCTTTTCTGCATTGCCAGTGATTGCACAGGCACTGCACTAAAACAGTGCTTTCCATATCAGAGTCTGTAAAATCGTGGCTAAGTGGTAGCCAGAGGAAGCCTTGATGCTGCTGCGTGCTGCAAGTGGAGTGTGGCTGCATATGTGCAGTGTAGAGTGGGCCAGCTCTCTCATTCAGAGGGAAAATGAAGGCACAATGAGGAGTGCTGAAGAGGCAGGGAGATCATTATTTAGACCAGCAGCTCCCAAGGCTCATGAGGCTAACATTTGAAAAGGAGTTCTTCACCAAAAATGTCTGAGGGGTAAATTTTATTTTAGTGACAGAAATCAAAAACGTTGAATTCACTGCTTTCTTATAGTTGGCTTTAATACAACCTTAATAGGAAGGAGAAAAAGCTCAATTTGCACATTCAACAGAACATACCAACACACATGGTATAATTCAAGAAATCTCGAACACACACTAATGCAAATAGCTTTTAACTTCTTAAGAAAATCTTTAAACTTTTTTTTTTAAATCCTGGAGGTATTCTTACTTTGTTAGTTTGGCCTTGAGATCTGCAGCAACTTTTTTTTTTATTTGTCACAACTGTGTCAATATCATCCCATGTAGTAACTGTCTGTGGAGGTTTTGCCACAACATTCTCTGGAAACAAAACTGGATGAGTGAAAGGAAAGGGATATTACTGATTAAGCTAGTGGAAGTTTGAGATAATGTAAAATTTTATTGTTTTACAGTGAGACAGATTTATCCAATCTTCCAAGGGATATAATTACTCCCTAAATTCACAAGGTACTCAAGTGAAACACCACGGTATCAAATCAACCCTATGCCCTCCATCTTTCAATGTATTCTCCAAAGTCCCGAGACAAGAACTATTATATACAATGAAATATCGCTCAACTACAAATAACATTCTTAAACTTCATGCTTTCGAAAACTTGGTCAACTTCATTTTCCAAAAAAAAACCTCTTTCCTAAATCAATTATACATATCCACTATCTAGTGGGAGAAAATATAGAACCATTTCCAGCAATGCGATTAGTCTGTCAGATACCTGTCCTACAAAGCACAATTCTCATGTTAAACAGCACAATTGGACTATCTATACTTCTCATTTAAAACCCTGGAATATTATGTCTAAATGCAAATTCAGCTTTGACAATCTCCGCTAACTCAAGAGTTTGACCTCACACAATGATTCACAGATTCTAAACCAAGTTTAAAATATTTGAATGTAGAATGTATGAAATGTATATAACTTGCAACCTTACCAACGATCTACAATGTTTTTTAAACAAAAAATTTGTTTCAAGTTCTAATTAAACACACTTGATAATGTCAGAATCTGATCGAAGTGGTTAGAAAAAGAGCCAATGTTTGACCTCAAAAATTTTACTTTCTCAATTTTTTAAGATACCCATTAATTCCATATTTCCTGAAACAAAAATATATTGCCAAGTTGCCCATATTAAAAACCCTATTGCTTAACTCTTCCTTATAAATATCTTCAGATTACAAAACATTCTCCAACAAAATTTCAACTTTCATTCATTGTTTCCTTCCTTCACATAAAGGACCAAAATTGAGCCTATTACATTTAGCATTTCTATTCGTAAATTCTACTGCAATGATTATTTCAATCCAACTAATTTTCCTTTAGTATATATTCTGTTAAAACATGAGTGAGCTACCTGAATTTGCCATCATAAACAGCAAAACTTTGCTCCCTTATACTGCCTTGTTGTTTAAACTGTATGTGTCTACAACAAACAAGTAAATGCTTCCAGAAGTGACATGGGTCTTGATGAATGCTGACTGGTTCAGTTTCTCAAACTTGTGCTGCTATGCAACTGTTAAAGTTAATCTCTCAATGTTTTACTTGTAGTTTCATTTTATTGCACTGAGTGTAAATGCAGATCATTTTTACAACACTAAACAAAGAATTCATTGAATGCCTGCTTAGAAACAGATTTATTTCCACAAAATACAATGTACGAAATAGGAGCAGGGGTAGACCATGAAGGCTCGAGCCTGCTCTATCATTTAAAACACACATTGATGATCATCAGTCTCCACTCCTGTATCCTCTGATTTCCTGAGGGATCAAAACATCTGTCTACTCAGCAATACATTCAACAATAGAGCAGCAACAACTTTCTAGGGTAGAGATTCCAAAGACTTGTAAATATTTGAACGAAGATATGTCTCTTCATCTCAGTCCTAAGAGTTCAGTCCTAACCCTAATCCTTATCCAATGAATCTCTCCCTCCCACTTTTTCTAGATTCCCAGCCAGGGGATTTAAGGGGCTCCTTCAGAATTGTGAATGTTTCAATGAGATCACCTCTTATTCTAAATTGTAGAATGTGTATGGGCCTAATTCACTCAGCCTCATGAACTTTTGCCTGACCACCTCCAATTTAAGTATATCCTTGCTCAAATAGGGAGTTCAAGACCGTACACAGTACTTCATGTCTGGTCTCAGTGAAACCAAATATAACCATAGCAAGATTTCCTTATCATTTGTACATTACATGGCCAGTCGTCTTGCAATGAAGATCGATATGCCATTAGCATTCCTAACTTCTAATCATACACATGTGGTAAGCGTATTCCTTCTAGAAGTGTACCCAAGTCCATCTGAACATCAACACTTACAAACCTACACACAGTTTAAAGTATCCTGCTTTTCTATTCTCACTAACAAAGTGATAGACTCCTCAACTGCTCACATTATATCCACTCACAACCTTGTTATACACTCACTTAACTTGTCTACAACTCTTAGAAACCTCTGTCCTCACAGCTATCATTCCCACCTAGCTTTGTATCAAAATTAGAGTCATTATTCTCAGTCTTTTCATCTAATTTATTAACACTGATTCCTTGCTGTACTCTAATTACAGCCTCAACTTGAAAATGTCCAATTTATCCTTACTGTTTCATGTCCATTAACCAATTCTCTACAAATATTAATATACTACTCATGTGACCTTCTCTAGGTGAAAGCAAGTCTCCTTCATCTAACTTACCAGTTATCCTCAAACGACTCAAATTTGTCAAAAATGATTTTTCTTTCATAAACCTGTGCTGAGTCTGATCATTCTATAATGTTTTAAGTATATTGGCAAGACTTGCAAGAGAGTTTCCAGAATGCTCCTAATGACTCATGTCACACCAAAGTGCCTGCGGTTCTCTCAACTCACTTTTTTTTGAAAAGCAGTTATAGTTACTAACTTCCAACTTGCCGTAGCAGTCCCAGAATTTGGAAACTTTTGAAAAACTACGACAAGCTCATCTGCAATCTCTGCAGCTAACTGTTTTAGAATCCTAGGTCTTGGAAATTTGTCAGATATTAGTGCTTTAAGTTTCTGTAATACTTCTTTGCTGACATCAATTACCTCAAGTTTCTCACTCTTTTTAGCCCCTTGGTTACCTTCTATTTCTGGTATGTAATTTTTGTCTTTTAGTGTGAAGGCAAACTCAAACTATTTGTTCAATATCTTTGCCATTTCCTCATTCCCCATGATAATCGCTCTTGTCTGTGCCTCTAAGGGGCCAACATTTAGCTACAGCCTCCACCTCTATCTCCATTTACTCGTAAAAGCTCTTGTAATTGGTTTTTCTATTCCTGGTTGGAATATTCTCATCTTCTATTTTTATCCCTTTTAACAACTTTTTCGGTGGGTCTTTGCTGGTTCCTATTTTACAGTTATTCTTTGTCACCTGCAATGCTTCTTCTTTTAATCTAATAAAAAGATTTTAGTGTTCTGAGTGAGCCATGGTTGGATCTTTCCTGCTGTGTTTGTTTTTGCAACTAAATTTATCTTATTGAACACTTTGAATGATTTCTTCAAACTTTTCACAGTTTGGTTATTACCAAAATTTTTATACTATTTTACCAATCCACCTTAGTCAATACTCCTTTCATACCTGTGTAATTGGCTTTGCTTAAGCTTTTTGTTTGTGACCACTGTACATTGCTTTCAAAGTTAAAATAGAATTCAATTAAGATATGATCACTTTCTCCCCTGCTATTTTTTTTAAACCGAGGTTACCAATTAACCCTGCCCCATTACAAAAACTAGAAAATATCTTTGTCACCAGTCGGTTCAACAACTTCTTGTTCCAGGTACCTAACACCAGTCTAAGGATTAAAAGTCCCCACAATTATTGTATTGCCTTGGTTACAAGCTCCAACTATATACTTTTATAAACGATTTCCCCAATGGTAGGTACCTCTCCCACACGAAAGGAGTTATCTCCTCAAAGAATCCGAGCAGACTTCACAATAAAATGGTGAATTGTGTGAACACAGCAATGGGCTCCAATCTGATTTCTGACAAATGGTTGAGAAGCCATAACTACTTTTCTTTCTCAACATAATTAACAATATTAGGATCCAGACAAGAAATGAAAAAAACTGAAAAGAGTACATTAGCTTTTTTGTACGGTGTCAGTTTTGACTGATTCATGTGAGACCTTTATAACATTTAACAGTTAAACTTCAAGTACAAAACACAAATGCTACCTCGAGATGTTGGAGTAGAAATTCACCCACCCCCTCCAAAATATACCTTCTGCTTTGACACTCATGAAACAATGGAATAGAAGTTATTAATACCTTGTTCACCAAGATGAAAAGCTTGTTCCACAGCAAACAGGCATCTCCGGGTAGAGATTCTAAAACATAAAATGTTCCAAATCAATACAAACCAATTCATAGGCTGTACCAACTAATTTTGTTAAGTGAATTCCCGTGTCCTCAATTTCTACTTTAACATATGCTTTTCAGAGAGTTGGTTTTTCAAAATGCAACTATTATGCATTTGCAGTGTTACCTGTTATATGTAAACTCCACATCCATAGGCTCCCCTCCATAGGCTTGGTGAAATGAAGAATTAAACTGCAGCACAAGCTCGTCTTCATACACCTGCACCAGGAGAGCAGAGGTAAAATGTGTTGTGAGTACAGAAAGATCAGCTGTTTTTTATATTCAAACCAGAGAAGGCAAAACTACAAAAAGCTTTAGAATACATGAATAGGATCACAAGACATCCGAAAAAGCCACGCTGAATTAAAGGACCTCAATTGCAGCACTGACGTGGTTTCCGTGTATTCTGTAGGCTGAGGATGGAAATAGCCCAGGAGAAAGTGTGAAGCCACACTGACTGCCTAATTCTCGTGTGGCCTTGTCCATTCCACTTGACGCAGATGGTTGACATGTGATGTATGTGACGCCAGTGGACACTGCAAGGACTGGAATATTGTGTGGACAGCAAAATTAATAGAACTTCCCTTCATTATATTCAAACTCTTAAAAGGAATTTTAAAAATGTAGACGTTGTAATCCTGTCAAGTGATCCATACTAAAAGAGATAACTAAAGGAATGGGCCTGGAATTTCTATAGATGCTATTTATATGGATTTCCAGAAGGCATCTGATGAAGTTCCTTGGAAGAGACTGTTCATAATTGCTGAAGCCTGTAAAACTGAAGGCAAATTATTGACTTGCTTAGAAAATTGGCTCATCAGCAGGAAATAGAAAGACTGAGAGCAGGCAGGAACTCTAAACATCTGGATGTAATGACTGACGTCCCATGGATCTATGCAGGGTCCTCTACTGTTCAGCATATTTATTTACAACATGGGAAGTAGACTAGAAAGTCACATAACTACATTCGTTAATGGCACAAAGATTTTATACTGCTTATGATGTCACATATGTGTCAGTATCTCCTTGTAACTTTATGTGAATGGGCAAAACACTGGCAAATGGATTTCAATCCAGTGAAATGAGAGGTCATTCAATTTGGACTTTAGAAAGTTAGAAAAGGAGACTTTATAAATTTGACAAGGTTAGAAGCAGTGGAAGTACAAAAGGACATGAAGGTTCAGTTACACACATATTAAAATGCCTTGAATAGGGACAACAAGTTATAAGAACAGGCTAAAGCAATGCTGGCCCTTAAATCTGGATGACTAGAAGTCATCCTTCAGTTCTACAAAGTCCTGCTTATGGGAAAATAAAATAGTAAAACTTGGAAGCAACAGCACAGGTCTATGTTGGAGTCCCATACTCAAGTATCAAGACAAGTTCAGACCAGTTTTGTCATTTCCAAGTTTTACTGGTTTTTCCTTTTGCTTGACCACCAAAGCAGAGGACTTTAGATTACCATCCCAACGAGGGCAGTACAGACTAACCCCTGTACACCAAGGATTAAATTATGGAGAGATTATACAAACTAGGGTTGTATTCCCTGGAGTTCAGAAGATTTGGGGCTGATATGATCAAAATTTTCAAGATATTAGAGGAATATGTGACTTGATACATGGGAGGTATTCCCACTGGTTGAGAAATCTTGGGTTAGCGACGAGTCTAAAAACTAGACACGGACCTTCAAGATTGAAATTAAACGCTTCTACACAGAAGGGGTGAAAGCACTTTGGAATTCTTACGTAAATAGCAACTTCAAGCTCAATAATAAATTTTAAATTAGGGAGGAGGTAGAAGAGCAACAACAGCTAAATGAAGTTAGGTCACAGATAAGCAAAGACCTCATCAAGTGGCTGAACAGTTCAACGGGCTAAATGGCCAATTTCTGTCCCTGTAATTGTAATGCTCTCTACAAACATATTTATTTACCAAGAACGCCCTCCTTTGTGAAATATAAAACAGTACATTTTAGCACAAGTCAGCAAGTTCACAGAGCGAGACAGAGGATGCAAGGAAGTTGTAAAGGCAGCACAATAGCCATTACATGATACAGGTTAATTAAGAGATGCCCCCTTTAAGCCAGAGAAGCTTATTTCCTGACCCCAACTGGACATCCTTCAAAACATCCTAAGTTTTATCAAAATTAATAAGAACACAGCAAGAACACAAGGTCAGGTGTAGTGAATTCTCATACACTATCCTTAGTTAGCCCATAGCCGATTCCTATCATTAACTCCTTTAACTGAACCTAATGTGAATAGAAAATGTAATATCAACTGAGACAAAATGTTTAATAGATTCAGCCATTAGTACAAGGATAAACTTTGAGAAATAGGAACTGATTTTTCTTCTAAATTAACACAAATGTTTGAATATTCTGATGCAATAAAATCCTTTTAAAGTTTCTGTAATACCATAATTTCCATTATATAATTGTAGCAGAGAATTTGATTTCCAACATGCTCTTGTTTTGAACACATTGTACGCAGTTGGGGAAGAAATACCAAACTGAATTAGGATCTGCACATTTTCCAGAATATTGATAGCTGAAAATGCAGTCTGAAGCCCACTTACCTCCAGTACAAAGCCAGAAAATCGCACTACAGGTTCTGTACAACAGGAATTCTTTAATATTATTCGGTCTCCTAACGGCAAAGAAGATAAATTTCGAGAACATTTCAAAAGTAAATAAATATCAAGGCATTTGCCCAAATAATAGCATTTTAAAACTCCACTTCCTATTCTAATGATTTGATGTAGCCTTCATGTCAATAGCTGAGAAAGAATCAGTCAGGTTTCTTTCTCGTCCCCAAAAGATTTGCCTCAAGGATATGACCTTGAACATAAAATGCAGAACTGAGAGCTTTAAGTTGAAAATTATAGGCTATGCTGTTCCAAGTTATTTAAACTTTTGACACTAAATTCCTGTTTTGCTGTGTTATTTATATTGTTTATTTCAAAGTACTGGTGAATTCAACACTTTCACTGTGTTAACACACACAAATGATTAGACTATCCCTTATGTTACTCGTGTTTTCCTGTTATCAGCAATGGAATAGAATGCAGCATTGCTTTCAAACAGTAATTCTGGGGCATTTCCTTTTGCTCAGCAGATAATTGCACTAACTATACTAGAGCCATGCCTCAACTTTAATGTCCTTCCTATTGCAATCAGAGGCCTTACCACTAATTGCAAGTAACAAGCCATGCTCTTTCCCCCAGAGTCACTAACAGCATAACTCTCTAAACTAGAGTGGCACTCTGTATTAAGGAAATGCTTCATTGATGAAAATGTCATTGTTCAAATGATTAGATGCACAAAAAAAATCCAAAGACATAAAGAACATTGAGTTCTTCCAGTGTATCGGCCCTTTGAGAACTTGCTCTGTGCAAGTTAGCTGCCATTTCTTACATTAAAACAGTGACCATACTTTAAAAGTACTTAATGGCCATAATACATTCTGGGACATGGTTAATGGTGTTATAAAAATACCAAGGCTCTTCTTTTTTTCATCTTTCATGGGCCCCCTCAATGATACTGAATGCCTGAAAAATCCAAACAAAAAACTCTCTCAGCACTTTAGGACAAACACTACGCAAACCTGGACAGTTACTAGCTTTAAATACTTACAGTCTGTCTCGGACTTTGATCCCTAATTGCAAAGCTTGAATTTTACTTTGTTTTTTTTTGTCAGGTACATTGAGAATTTTTTGTTTAAATTTTTGTTTAAAAAGTCATAAGATTGCTATCAACAGAAAATATACGTGGCTTTTTCATTTATGCACATTGAACACCAAAGATATCCTAAATACCATTGGAACAGTACTGCTCACATCCTGATCAGACTTGCTTGCCCTCTTTCTGCTCTATTTTTACTACCTCTGGTGTTCCCTTTTGAATGCTACTGTACATTGATACACCTTCTTAATCCCAGTTTCCTTTGAATACGCTTCTGCTTTGGCAGGCAGATTTAACAGCTGTTGCACACAGGTGCTCTCTTGAAGCTTAGCTTATCTCTTACTAGCATTTATTCATTTTTAAGCTTTCAAATGCTGAATGTGAATTTGTCTTTCTTCAGCAGAATACCTGCATCCTGTTCCAGACACTTTAGTCAGTAGCTCTCTTAAAACTAGCTATTTTGCTTTTATACCAACAATTATGCTTCAAATTTCATATTGGCAGTTCCATGGAGCCGAATCAGTATAGATTTAGCACACCTCACCGGATGCTGCAAAATTAGTTTTGTGGCCACACCATTGTGGCCTCATATTCATGAATGAATTGTTGAGCTAGAAATTTAAATTGACCCCATGATGAATAACTGAAACAGCGTTTGAAAAGCTGAGAAAGAGGTAACTTTGGGGATTAACTAAACAAAATGTCTTTTCCGACATGGGGCAACTGCTCAAATCTTAACCCATAGAGAGTTTGCAATTAAATTTTAATGTCCAACTAACCAATAGATACAGAAGGCCGGCCTTCAACCAACCCTGGCACCTCCAGAATGAGGTAGTCCCCTTGCTTTTTCAAAGTCACATTGGTCATATTAAATTCCCTCATTTCCATCTCGGCTTTGATCTCCTCCAGCCACAGAAGTGTTGAGAAATGATCTTTATATTTTGACATGTTCAGAGCCTAAAAAAGAAGTCAAAACAAACAAACATTCATTTTAAGCAGAGATTTTAAAAAAAGAACTGGATACAAATGAGTTACTAACCTCTGACAGATTTGGCTGTACGGTCAGGATATCTGCATCCCTTTCAATGCACTCTTTCAATCTCTCAGGCACAGCATACTGTGGAAGAAAGCTAGGTATGCGCCGTCTGGCCAGTCTAGACAGAATATTAACAAAGTTAGACGTGCTGTTGCTCAAAACCTCTAGGTACTTTGCACTCACTACACAATCAGTTATTCTGTCCTGAAGGCAAATCAAGCAAACATTTAACACTTTCATTAAATTCAACAATTGACTAATCTGGCTATCGTTTATTTGAAAGTAGATTTGTAAGATGATAAGTGCTTAAAAAGGGCCAGGAGAATAATTGTTAAAGAGTATTAAATTTATCAGAAGAGAAAATATAGCACAGGGGCAGTCTGGAAAAGCTGCTGAATGGGATCTTTTTGAGCTCCATCCGGTGGTGGAAGTGTGCGGCTACAGATGGGACTGTGTGCCTTTAACACCAGACAATAAAGTGAGAAATGCGAGAGATGGAAATAAGAAGTTGCATACAAAAAGTTTTGAAAAAGCTGTTAAAATTTCTCTCTATTTTCAGAGGAATTTAAAAAAAAACACTATTTGGGGTATAGTTGGAGGTAGAAAATAGGATTTACAGATTTTATTGTGCTCCTGAATACAATGATCAACAATGCTCTAACAGGCACATGGCAATTTTAATTATTAAAAAACCATATTTTCACAGTTAGAAATTTGTTAATCACAAGAACAAAGACAAGAATAAAGGATCCCATACCCAAAAATGACAGGGCCAACGTTATATATTAAATCCCATGTAAGGATCGCCACAAACATTACATTGGACATTAGAAAACGAGCTATCAGGGTACGCGAGCACCAACTATTTACCAAGAGACACAATAAACTATCACTCAGTATCCATACACTTGGACAAAGAGAGCCACCAATTTGACTGGGACAACGTAACCATCCTAGGACATGCCAACCAAAGACATGCACGGGAGTTCCTACAGGCCTGGTACTCAACCCAAAACTCCATCAACAAACATGTGGAAATAGACCGCTTATACCAATCACTACGAAGCAGAACCGGAAATGAGGCCAACCACTACATCAGACCGGACCCACATAAATAACAAGCAGGACAGACCAACAATGCTTCATTGGAGGCGTACTGATGGTGTTACCTAGTATGGTAACGAAACATCTGCAAACCAACCTACCAGCTCGGCGAACAAGTCAAAAACCCCGTTAATTATATTTTCTACCTCCAACTATATCTTGAATAATGTTTTATTTAATTCCTCTGAAAATAGAGGGATATTTTAACAACTTTTTAAACTTTAAATGCTACTCCAGCCTCCCAGATTTCCTTGATCCACTACCATTTGACTATCATTGCAACAGGTCCACAGCAGATGCCATCTCCCTGGTCCTACATTCATCCCTGGAACACCTGGATAACAAGGACATCTATGTCAAACTCCCATTTATTGAGTAAGTTTCTGAGGAAGGGTCACCGGGCCCGAAATGTTAACTGTTTTCTCCTCCACAGATGCTGCCAGACCTGCTGAGCTTTTCCAGCAACTTTGTTTTTGTTCCCATTTATTGGCTTCAGCTCCGCCTTCAACACCATTATTCCAACCAAACTCATCTCCAAACCCTGAGACTTAGGAATCTACTTGCCCCCTCTGCCACTGAATCCTCAGCTTCCTGACCCACAGACCGTAATCAGGAAGGATAGGTGACAACATCACCTCCACAATAATCCTCAACACCAATGCTCTGCAAGGCTGTGTAATCAGCCCCATACTATACCCCTTAGACATTCACGACTGTGTGGCCAAATTCAGTTCTAATTCCATTTACAAATTTGCTGATGACACCACGGTATTGCGTCAGACCTCAAAAAATGGCGCAAAGTACAGGAAAGAGATAGAAAGCTTAGTGGCATGATGTCAAGACAACAATCCCTCCCCGAATGTCAGCAAAATGAAGGAGCTGGGTCATTGACTTCAGGAAGCGGAGTGGAGGATATGACCCTGTCTGTATTAATGATGCTGAGGTGGGCATGATCAAGAGCTTCAAGTTCCCAGCAATAAATATCACCAATCTGTCCTAGTCCATCCACATTGATGTTACAGTCAAGAAAGCACAACAACAGCTCTAATTCCTCAGAAAGCTAAGGAAATTTGGCATGTCTACAATGACTCATCAATTTTTATGGATGCATCATAGAAAGCATCTTATCTAGATGCATCATAACTTGTCTGTAACTGCTCTGCCCAAGACTGCAAGAAATTAGAAAATTGTGAACACAGCCCAGTTCGTCATGAAAACCAGCCTTCCTTCCATTGACTCAATCTACACTTCCTGCTCCAGCAAACAGCCAACATAATGAAAGACCCCTCTCATGCTGGTTATACTTTCTTTCATCAGGCAGAAGATACAAAAGTTGGAAAACACGTACCAACAAATTCAAGAACACCATCTTCTCCGCTGTTATCAGACTTATGAATGGACCTCTCATGTAGATTCATAGAGATCTACAGCACGGAAACAGACCCTTTGGTCCAATTCGTCCATGCCAACCAGATATCCTGGATAAATCAGTTCCATTTGCCAGCATTTGGCCCAGATCACTCTAAACCCTTCCTATTCATATACTCATCCAGATGCCTTTTAAATGTTGTGCCAGCCTCCACCACTTCCTCTGGCAGCTCATTCCACACATGCACCATTCTCTGCATGAAAAAGTTTCCGCTTAGGTACCTTTTATGACTGTCCCCTCTCACCCTAAACCTATGTCCTCTAGCTTTGGACTCCCCCATCCCTAGGAAAAGACCTTGCATATTTACCCTGTCCATGCCCTTCATGATTTTATAGACCTCTAAGGTCACCCCTCAGCCTTCGATGCTCCAGGGAAAATAGCTCCAGCCTATTCACCCTCTCCCTATAGCTTAAATCCTTCGAAACCTGGCAAGATGCTTGTAAATCTTTTCTGAACCCTTTCAAGTTTCACAACATCCTTCACATAGCAGGGGGAGAGGAATTACACATAGTATTTCAAAAGTGGCCTAACCAATGTCCTGTACAGCCACAATATGACTTCCCAACTCCTTTACTCAATGCAGTGTTCCAATAAAGGCAAGCATTCCAAATGTTTTCTTCACTATCCTAACTACCTGCGATTCCACTTTCAAGGAACAATGAACCTGCACTCCAAGGTCTCTTTGTTCAGCCACACTTCCCAGGACCTTACCATTAGTATATATATCCTGCCCTTATTTGCCTTTCTAAAACACATCATCTCTCATTTATTCAAATTAAACTCCATTTGCCACGCCTCAGCTCGTTGACCCATCTGATCACGATCCTGTCGTACTTGAGATAACCTTCTTCGCTGTCCACTACACATCCAATTTCGGTGTCATCTGCAAACTTACTAATCACCCCTCCGGCGTTCACATCCAGATCACTTACATAAATGAAGAGCAGTGGACCCAGCACCGATCCTTGGGGCACACCGCTACTCATAGGCCTCCAGTCTGAAAAGGAACCCTCCACCACCACCCTCTATCTTCTACCTTCGAGCCAGTTCTGTATCCAAATGGCTAGTTCTCCCTGTATTCCATGTGATCTAACCTTGCTAACCAGTCTACCATGAGGAACCTTGTCGAACGGCTTACTGAAATCCACACAGATCACGTCCACCATTTTGCCCTCATCAATCCTCTGTTACTTCTTCAAAAAGCTCAACCAAGTTAGTGAGGTGTGATTTCCCACGCATAAAGCCATGTTGACTATCCCTAATCAGCCCCTGCCTTTCCAAATGTGTGAAAATCCTGTCCTTCGGGATTCCCTCCGACAATTTGCCCACCACCGATGTCAAGCTCACTGGTCTATAGTTTCCTGGCTTTTCCTCGTCACCTTAAATAGTGGCACCTCATTAGCCAACTTCCAGTCTTCCGGCACCTCACCTGTGGCTATCAATGATACAGCTATCTCAGCAAGGTGCCCAGCAATCACTTCCTTAGTTTCCCACAGAGTTCTAAGGTGCACCTACTAATCAGGTCCTGGGGATCTATCCACCTTTATGAGTTTTAAGCATCCAGCACTACCTCTTCTGTAATATGGACATTTTTCAAGATGTCACTATTTCTTTCCCCACATTCTCTATCTTCCATTTCCTACTCCACAGTAAACACTGATGCAAAATACTCATTTAGTATCTCCCTCGTGTCTTCTGATTCCACACATAGAGGGTTCTGCTAATCTTTAAGGGGCCTATTCTCTCCCTAGTTACCCTTTTGTCCTTAATGTATTTATAATATCCCTTTGGATTCTCCTTAACCCTATTTGCCAAGGCTATCTCATGAACCCCTTTTGTCCTCCTGACTTTCCTCTTAAGTGTACTCCAACTGCCTTTGTATTCGAAGGATTCATTTGATCTCTACTGTCTATACCTGACATATGCTTCCTTTTTCTTGACCAAAACCTCAATTTCTCTAATGATCCAGCAATCCCTATACCTACCAGCCTTGCCTTTTACCCAAACAGGAACATACTGTCTCTGGACTCTCGTTATCTCATTTCTGAAGGCTTCCCATTTTCCAGCCGTCCCTTTACCTGCAAACATCTGCCCTCCATCAACTTTTGAAAGTTCTTGCCTAATACTATCAAAATTGGCCTTTCTCTAATTAAGAACTTTAATTTTTAGATCCAGTCTATCCTTTTCCATCACTATTTTAAAACTAGTAGATTATGGTCACTGGCCCGAAAGTGCTCCCCCACTGACACCTCAGTTACCTGCCCTGCCTTATTTCCCAAGAGTAGGTCAAGTTTTGCACATTCTGTAGTAGGTACATCCAAATACTGAACCATAAAGTTTTCTAGTACACCGTTAAAAAATTCCTCTCCATTCAAGCCTTTAACACTATGGCAGTTCCAGTCTATGTTTGGAAAGTTCAAATCCCCTACCGTAACCATCCTATTATTCTTACAGATAACCGAGATCGACTTACAAATGTGTTTCTCTATTTCCTGCTGACTATTTGTTGGGGGGTGGGGTCTATAGTACAATCCCAATAAGGTGATCATCCCTTTCTTATTTCTGAGTTCCACCCAAATATTTCCCTGGATGTATTCCCAGGAATATCCTCCCTGACATTAAAGCCATAATATTATCCCTACTCAAAAATGCCACTCCCCTCCTCTCTTGCCCCCTTTCTATCCTTCCTAAAGCATCTGTACCCTGGAACATTAAGCTGCCAGTCCTGTCCATCCCTGAGCCATATCTCTGTAATCGCTATTGTATCCCAGTACCATGTTCCCAATCATGCCCGGACTTCATGTGCCTTACCTGTTCGGCCTCTTGCATTGAAATAAATGCAGTTTAATTTATCAGTCCTACCTCGTTTTCTGCTTTGTTCCTGCCTGACATGACTGTTTGACTTGCTCCTTTCTCCAACTGTACCCGTCTCAGACTGATCTCTTTCCTCACTATATCCCCCCTGCCCCCTTTCTAGTTTAAATCCTCATGAGCAGCCCTAGCAAATCTCCCCACCAGGATATTAGTCCCCCTCCAACTTAGTCCTTCTTATACAGGTCACTTCTACCCTAGAAGAGATTCCAACGATCCAAAAATGTGAATTCTTCTCCCCAGCCATGCATTCATCTGCTCTATCCTCCTATTCCTACCCTCACTAGTCCGTGGCACCAGGAGTAATCCATATATCACTACCGTTGAGGACCATGTTTTTAAATTCCTACCTAACTTCGTTTATTCTTTCCTCAGAATCTCACCCTTTTCTTTTCCTATGTCGTTAGTTCCAAAGTGTACAATGACCTCCTGCTGGTCCCTCTTGCCTTTGAGAATATTCTGCACCTTCTCCAAGATATCCTTGATCCTGGCACCAGGCAGCACATACCATTCTGATTTCTCACTGTTGGCCGCAGAAACGTCTGCCTGCGCCTCCGACTAGTGAATTCCCTATCACAATCGATCGCATGGAACCTGACGTACCCCTCGTTACATTACAGCCAGTCTCAGTACAAGAAACCTGGCTGTCCGTGCTACATTCCCAAGAATCTCTCACACTTTACATTTTTCAAAACAGCATACTGTTTTGTGATGGGAATAGCCACAGGGGACTCCTGCACTACCTGCCTCCCTCTCCTACCTTTCCTGACAGTAATCCATCTACTTGACTGTATCTGTGGTTGTTCTCCCTTCCTACAGCTGCTATCCATCACATTCCCCAGCTTCTGTAAATTCCTCATTTCCTCTAACTATATTAGAATTGATCTTTCATTGCACCCTCTCAGTAGCTGTAAGAGTATATTCTGCATTCTGTTCTAGTACCCTGGTGTACTTATGTAAGGTATTTGTCTGGTTAGCATGCTAAACAATACTTTTTACTGTATCTCGTACAATCTCGTGACAATAATAAATCACATCAAATCAGCATTGCTCACTATATTACCTTATGTTACAAGCATATAGTTACACCTGTAGCTGCACATTTCCATCACTGGATGGAGCTCTAAAAGATCTGATGCAGCAGCTTTTCCAGACTACCCCTGTATCATATTTTCTCTGCTGTTAAGTATAATAATGCCCTTTAACAGTTATTCTCCTGGCCTTCTTAAAGCACTTACCATCTTACCGATTAGTTGTCATCTAACTGGAACATTTACATTTAAATAATCTCTTCTCTATTATCCCTGGGTTCAATGTTGTTCCAACGTGGGATTAAGTTTGATTAATTTATTCCTTCACATCAGTTAAATGCCTTGCTTCTGGTTGCCTTTCTCACCCTGATTCAGGATTCTCATCAGGAACTTCCACACTCCATCATTCCACTGAAATCTAAGACAAGCTCAATTTTTTTTTCCCCTTGCCTTCAAGTTCATTGGCAAACATCATTTCAGAAAGCTATAATTTCAGCAACGTTTCTTTGCAATTCAAACAGACTGGAACAGAATTCTGAATAGTGCATCTTGTAGACAAGATGTACCCAACTGCTCGTATGGAATGTGTAATTTGGTCTTGTCAGCTAGAAGGTAATTCTGTGTTCTCCATAATGTCCAGCCGTAGTTACACAGGCAAACAGACTTCAAAGCTAAAAATGCTGCCCTGGCTGTATTGTACAATAAAAGGGAAATGATGCAGCAGAATGCACAAACTGCAGCCAAAGTTCCCATTTCATTTGTTCTTCTCAAATACAGTTAAATTATTACAACAGAATTCCTATATTAATGCATCATCCCAAAGGTGTGAATGCAGATTGATTGCATTTATTGATGCATCAAACCCTGGCCATTTGAAAATAATCACAGAATCCTTGCAGTGTGGAAGCAGGCCATTCGACCCATCGGGTGTACACAACCCTCTGAAGAGCATCTCCAAACAGCAAATAATGGATCTAAATCAGACTTCAGTTAGTCAATTTCTGGGTAGACTCAATTCCCCACCTGATCTCTAACCAGCGGGCTCATGACTTAGTTTAAAACAATGCAGGTCTGTATAACCACATCCTGTAGGATTTCACAATTTCCTCATCATATATTGCTCATCATTTTCATGTAATAAAACACTGAATCCTCTGATTAAGACATGAGCAATGCCACAAGGTATCTGCTAACATTTCAAAATGTATGGTACCTTGAAGGATTTCTCACACTCACAACCATGAAGTTGGCTTCTTTTTGCTCTGGTTGAAAGGATTTGGATTGTACGGGGTGATATCTGGATCTTGGTTCCAGTAGATATTCCTCATCACTCATTACATCCACCTCCACATAACATCCCATCATAAAATCATTAAAATAAAGCAAGAGGAGATCTTTACTACGACCGGGATTTCTGCAAAACAGAATTAAAATAAAAATACAATAATGTAAAAAAAGGCAGAATTATTGGAATTTGTTTAAAACGAACAACGCATATTTCAAAAATAAATATTATTTTAAAAAATCCAGTGTGGCTTCTATCTAGTACCTTCTAGGATGATTTCAACTTTTCCTCCAATAACAATTTATGCCCATCATGGTGAAGTCAATAATATAGAAATCCATTATATTTCAAAGTTACTGGAAATTGAATTATACTGCATGATAAAGGGAAACCTCAAGACTATGTTAATTTCTATCTATTTGAATCAATTTTTCCTTTAAAAAAAAGTTAGCATGCTGAAATAACATCTACACTGAAAACAAAGGGGCAGCAAGTGCACGAGTCTTGTTGTACAGCACTGTTTTCCACCAGGATTTTGAAACCTGGTCACCATATTTGCCACACAACACAATATACACAATATTGATTAAAAAAACATGCAATTTTTGGGAAATACATTTGGTTAAGATCGATATGCTCATTGCCAGAACATGAAGAACATCTTCAAAGGGATTTGCAATCCAAGTATTCCACAAAGTATACCTGCTATAAACACACTCAAAGGGTGATGACAATCTAGTAATGGAAATGTTCTGTTTCTGACAATCTGTTCCAATTTATTTTTTAAAACATTCTTCAATAAATTGTATCTAAAGAATCAACAAAATCTACATATTGACATCAGCGCTTGGATGCGTATCTTAGTCACCTGCCAACCCAAACACATATGCATATTTCAAGCAAATAAATACTATTCAAAAAAATCCAGTGTCAGATACTTAAATCGACCTTTGGCTCATGGCCAAGTTACTGTAATCTCTCTTTTTATGCCAAACTCCTGTTCTTTTCAATTGCTTGTTGCAACAGGTCTATTAAGATGAAGGTTCGAATGTTCCCAGCTTGCCAAAATTACACATTTCAACCTGCATCTGCAGCTCATGCACTTCAATTATTTTGCAACAAGTGCCAGCTACTAGCAAAACAAAACAGTTCAAAAACCATCCCATGTCACTAGACTCCCCAAGAGAAATCTGAGATCAAATGGACACACAAGCAACTGGATCTAGCAACTCAAGACTGGGCATCCATGTGGAGCTGTCGGTGATCAATAAGCAGCAGAATTGTATACCTGCACAAGCTGCAAATCATGGCCCAGCATATCTCCCACTCAACCATTACCATCAAGCCAGGGGATCAACCCTGGTTCAATGGACATGGAGGGCATGCAGGAGCAGCACCAGCATACCTGAAAATAAGGTGTCAACCAGGTGAAGCTACCAAACAGGACTACTTGCATGTCAAACAGCAAGTGATAGAAGGAACTAAGCAATCCCACAACCAGTGGATCAGATCTAAGCTCTGCTGTCCTGCCACATCCAGTTATGAATGGTGGTGGACAATTAAGGAGGAGGAGGCTCCACAAATGTCCCCATCCTCAAAGGAACAGACCAACACCTCAGTGCAAAAGGTTAAGGCTGAAGCATTTGCAATCTTCAGCCAGAACTGCCAACTGGATGATCCATCTCTGCCTCCTCTAGTGGTCCCCAGCATTACAGATACCAGTCTTCAGCCAATTCAATTCACTCCACGTGATATCAAGAAACAGTTGGAGGCATCAGATACGGCAAAGGCCATGGGTCCTGACAACATTCCAGCAACAGTACTGAAGACTTGCGCTCCAGAACTTGTTCCTCCCTTAGCCAAGCTCTTCCAGTACAGTTACAATACTGGCATCTACCTGAAATGAAAAATTGCCCAGATATGTCCTGTACATAAAAAGCAGGACAATTCCAACCCAGCCAATTACTGCCCCATCAGTCTACTCTCAATCATTAGTAAAGTGATGGAAGGTATCATCAACAGTGCTACCAAGCAGCACCTACTCAGCAGCAACATGCTCAGTGACACCCAGTTTGATCCCACCAATGCAGGAGAAAGACCGATGAACCATAACCAAACTAGAAAGTAAGAATAACAGTGTGGAGCTGGAGGAGTACAGCGGGCCAGGCAGCATCAGAGGAGCAGGAAAGTTGACATCTTGGGTCGGGACCCTTCTTCAGAAATGAGAAATAGCAGCGTTTCACTTTCTGTGCCATCATTTTTGATCATAAATATAATCTTTTCTGAAGAAGGGTCCCGACCCGAAACTTCAAGTTTCCTGCCCCTCTCTTGCTGACTGGCCTGCTGTGCTTCTCCAGCTCCACACTGTGTTATCTCGGACTCCAGCATCGGCAGTTCTTATTATCTCCTAGAAAGTAAGAATTCCTTGATTTACTTTCAGATGCTGTTTATACATTTAAAACCAACCAAAAAAATAGCAGGTTTTAACTTTCTGTGCCATCATTTTTGATCATAAATATATTCATTTTGATCATAAATACATTGAAATTGAAGTATTATGGAAGAATTAAAGTTTGATCTAGCTATTTTTAAACAACATAGTTCTGTGCATCAATATTCTTCTTAACACTTAATTTTCAATAGTAAAACTCTTACTTTGCTTCACACACTAGTTTTATGTAAGCTTTTCCCCCAGGTAATATTTGCAGCATCCTTTCACCAATTTCTACATTTGTGCTAAGCTCTTGTTTCATCTTTTCACATTTTACATGGGCATCATCAAGGGTTTGCAGACAATTTAGCTCATTTATGGAACTTGCAGAGGCTGATGACATATTATTCAGGAATTTATCATCTCGAGCGCTTTGTGAATTGCGTGAACCATCTTGCTGGGATGATCTTCTTTCCTGAGGTGTGGATACATTCTGTTGATCAAGAGTCACACTGGGAAGCTTAGAATCTGGTTGATTTGATATCCTGGGCAGGGAAGAACCAAGGACGATACAGGATGACTGGGATTGAGTAATTCTGTAGTAAGATGCAAATTTACTGGGGCTTTGTTGTTCTTTGGCTCCATTTTCAGAGGCAGTAACTAATTGGGGTGACATCAGAAAGAACTGATTGCCTCTCTCCCATCCTGCCAGCTTACAGTTTAGAAGGCTTTGAGCCTCCCTTCCTTTGTTCCTGAAATCAGAAAGTGACAGAAGTAAAATAAATAAAAGGAACATCAATTATGCAAATACAACATATATCACCCCTTCCATTACTTTGAGTGTTAGAAAATCACAAGCATTTAATAAGGTGTCCAGAGGCTTTCAGACTCAAGCGAGAGCACTTCTCAAATCCTATCCAATATCATTCAATTCAGGTTGGCCAAGTACTTCCTGCATCATTTTGTACGAACTTCCCCAAACACTACTGTTAAAATGTTTATTCCATAATATACTGCAAGAACATAAAAACAGACCACTTAGCCTGTTCTGCCAATGAAATTATGTTTGATGTGCAAAGTTATTTTATATACTCACCTTCACAGATATCCCTCAATGCCTTTGATTAACAAAAATCGTTCCACTTCAGATTTAAAATTAATGACTGATCTGGCATCAAAAGAAATGGCACATTTTTCTGACTGTACTCTTCAACGTACCTAACACTGTGATTGGTGGCTGTACTTCAACTGTTAAATTTAATTGATTAAATGTTGCACATGCAGTCGAGATCAGTGTTAATAAGAGCACAACTTTGGCAGCTCAATGGCCTTGAATATTATAGTTTATAAAGGGGGAGGGATGCAACAGAAAATGGAGGAGCTTGTACCTAACCAAATTTTAATCATAAATAACATAAATAGTATTGTATTGAGAGAGATTTGAAAGGCAGAAAGGAAAAGTATGCTCAAGATAATGTATTTACTATATTGATTGTAATCTCACTTGATTTCTTAGCCCAGTAGTTGAGCTGTCACAGAACACTGCAAGTTGATATTCATGCATACATAGTGACGCTCCAGATTTTGGTAAATATTGGATTCTGGTATTTCCACTTGAATAGCCCAGAGGAATGGGCAACATTTGAGAAAAGACTTGAATATCACAACCACTTTTATCTTTACAAAGAAAGGTCAGTGGTTTTTTGACTTGAGACAGAATCTATTGTGGGTGACAGATACTGAAGTACCTATGGGGTTAGTATTTCAGTTCCGCTCATGAACTACAAGCATGTGATTTAGGAGGATGAGTAGGCCACTCTGCCATTCAATAAAATCATGACTCATTCAATTACTCCACATTCCTGACTAACCCCACTCACTTTCCACACCTTTGCAATATCAAGAATCTACCAACTGCTACCTTGAAAATATTCAAAACTCTGCTTTGACTGCCTTTTGAAGTACCTAATTGGCCGAGACAAAGATGGTGGGCAGCTTGATCGCCTCCAGTCCTTGGGGTGTAGTTAACAGCATTGCGGGTGAAACTAAGGGGTTCCAATCCACTTTTCTCTGTAAAGGCTTCAATGTTATCTTGTTAACTTTGAAACATATATATTTTTGAAAGAGAACTATTTTATTAAAAAGAATAAAAACCAAAAGAACTGCGCATGCGGTAAATCAGGAACAAAAACAAAGTTGCTGGAAAAGCTCAGCAGGTCTGGCAACATCTGTGAAGGAGAAAACAGAGTTAACGTTTCGGGTCCGGTGACCCTTCCTCAGAACTGATTGTGGCTGGGAAAACGTCAGTTTATATGCAGAAAAATCGGGAGGTGGGTGGGGTAGGGAGTAAATGATAGGATAGAGCCCAGAGAGAGAAAGACAGTTGGACAGACGAAGGAGATGCTAACAATCAGGCTGGGAGGGTGAATAGTTGTTAATGGGGACTGTTACTGACTAACAACAGGGTGAGTAGTGGCAGGCTATGTGGTAACAAGGCCTGGTGTGTGGGGTGGGGGGCTGGGACATGGGAGAGTTTAGGCCCTAAAATTATTGAACTCAATATTGAGTCCGGAGGGCTGTGGGGTCCCCAAGCGGAAAATGAGGTGTTGTTCTTCCAGTTTGCGCTGGGCTTCACTGGAACACTGTAGCAAGCCAGAGACAGAGATGTTGGCCAGGGAGCAGGGTGATGCATTGAAGTAGCAGGCAATAGGTAGTTCAGGGTCTTTTTTGTGAGCAGAACGTAGGTGTTCTGCAAAGCGGTCGCCAAGTCTACGCTTCATTTCCCCAATGTAGAGGAGACCACATTGTGAGCAGCAAATGCAGTAGACTAGATTCTTGGAAGTGCAGGTGAAGTGTTGCTTCACCTGGAAGGTATTTTTGGGCCCTTGGATACTGGGGAGGGAGGAGGTAAATGCGCAGGTTATTAAAAGGTGTTATTAAAAAGAATACTGCCAATGTATGGAAACTGTATGCTGACTATATGAAAGCATAATTCAACAATGTACATACAAGCTGTAATATTGAGATTTGTCTGTGGATATCCTTAAGATACTCAATATTTTATTTCAAATAAACTTACTCGATCCACACCATCAAGTCTTTTTTCTCTCCCTGTTTGATGGTACCAAAGTCAATCCTTCTTGTAGCTTCCAATCCTTCTTTGTTAAAGAACTCCAAGTTATCAGGGTCAAGCTCTTTGCCTGTTATTGCAGGAACTGATAAACTGAAAAACAGTCAGATTTGAAAATGCGACATCACTGGAAATTGCAAGTTTTCCCCATCCTGGCTTTTGCATCAGTACCTTACATGGTGTTTTTTATATTTGAAATGTAGCTTAATTTGAATAGGAGAAATTCTTAGTGAATTAATACAAGCAATAAAATAAATCTTTAGTTTTACTATTGGACATTACAAATATAGCAATTTATGTAACTATTCCAAATGCAATTCATATTATTTCAATTACTAATCAAATGTAGCTTTAATACTTGAGGAGAATATATCATGTTTATTTTTATTTGCCACACACATCTTTCCATTTCTCCAGGCAGAATGGGACACCTCAAGTAACAAATTGCTAATTTTATTAAGGAACATGCCAGGGTTGAGAATATGGAGAGGGTCGTCTGGGGAAATTCAGAGCAGGGCATTCAGATGTGGGAATGCATAACTTGTGTGATAATCTCTCTGACTGATCCTAAGTTTAGATCTATTCGGTCAGACACTCAAGCGATCAATAAATATTTCTTGCGCGTTATGAAGATGTGAAAACATTGCTTATGGGGCTTGAATTCTGAATAGTACATTCAGGTCTAGAACCTTTGGAAAATGAAGATTATAGGATACAAGTATAATCGGAGTCTAAGATGAGTGAAATTATCCTTTATGGTCTTTAGTAGAATCTGGTCTTCTCTTCGAGAAGGAAAGAGATGTTTGAAAATAATAAATATTATCTAAAGTAGTGTCAACAGTTCATTAGGCTTTACCAGTTTATTTTGTGGCACATTAAACGGTTGTGCAATATTTGGTCTGGTCCACTGACATTTTTTCCTTGCTGCCGTTTGAGTGTCTTCATCACCACCACAGCTGCTGGCCCCCATGACTTAAACTCCAAATCCTATCAACCTTTTATACTTAGCCTTCTGACAAAACTTCCAACACTTAGAAGTCAGTGACTTCTAGTCTTTGTGACTGATGGACACGTGCACAAGCCTATCAGCGGGGTTAGTTTCTCCAGAGTTAAATCGGAGGCTTTACCACAACGAGAAGGCTACATCAGAAAACACACAAAAAAATTATGCACTGACAAGGAGAGGATGACTAGGGGTACAGTCCAGCATGAAGGCAATATTTGGTGGGGTTTGGAAAATACTGAAAAAAGGAGAAAAGGAAATCACATAGTCCTGAGTACCAATGTTGCTCTGCCTTGTGCTGCAAGAACTTTTGAATAAATTTTCAAAGCTTGTCGTGCCCAAATTAGTTTGAGTAATAAGTTAGATACTGGAAACAGCAAATGTAACGCTTGGGAAGCTCACACTATGGGTAAAGCTTACGAGAGGATTTTCTATGCAAGTCATCTCAATGGCACATCTATCCAGTTACATGCTTTAATAGTGGGTTCTAATGCAATCCTTGTCTAGTACAACATCACAAATACACCCCAAATTATTCAAACATTGGAACAGATTTGGTCCAGGAACATTACTGAATGCCGCCTGAATACTGATGCCAAACTACAGGATACTATAAAGCTACATCATAAAATACACAAAAAAATTATGCACTAACAAAGAGAGGATCACTGGGGGTACAGTCAAGTATGAAGGTAGTATTTGTATGGGGTCTGAGGAAGGGTCACCAGACCCGAAACATTAACTCTGATTTCTCTAAATAGATGCTGCTAGACATAGTGAGCTTTTCCAGGATACTGCTGCCTACAAAACAAAAGCACTTTTTCCATCATTGACTTAATTTAGATTACATTTAAATTAAAACCAAAGTAAATAACAAGCAGATTAATCTGTGTCATCAATTGAACTGATATCAAAAATTGCTTTAAGGATACCGGATATTGCAGTACACCAAAACAATGTATATCTTCTTGCTGTTCGGGAATCGTGTGTGATAAGATGCAGGTTAAACTCACTGTTAACTTTTGCAGCAATAGAACAGAAAAACACGACACACAATCATGCCTAACCAAAACAGAAAAAGCTAAGGAAGTGGGAAAAAAGAAGTCAAAATAATAGCTTCCAAATCCCCAAAAAACTGGAAGGGGAAGAATATTTAGTATGATTTAAAATGCTGTTCACTTCATAGGTGTTTTGTAGAATTCTGCAACATACTCTGTATTGGATTGCAGCTTTGTTCAACATAAATTTCTCAATCCGAGAGACAGTATGACAATGCTGTTTTTGTATGTTCTTACTGAATTCAATTTATCATCCTGTTTCATCGTACATATTCCACAGACACTTTCCGAAAAAGCTGAGTTACACAGAAACAAGTACTGTCATGCAAGAGCTGGCCATATGACAGACAGGTTTAGGCTTGATTGTAATTCACAATGTGGTCAAATAATCTGTCAAGATTTATGTATAAAGCCATGTAAGCAAAGTGTTAGAGGATAATGATGACGAGAAATCATTTGGAGCTGAATTGGTGCAGACACAAATGGTGAGAATTCTAGTTGTTTGCCTCATTGAGGTACAATACTGAACTGTTAAGTTAATGTGAAAAACAACTGGTAGGGAAAGGAATACAAAAGGAATTCTGAGACATGATTTGTTTAGAGGCTTTGAACTAGAATGGAAAAGATAACCCAATAATTCAGCTTTAATTTTCTATTCATCCTGTTTTCCTATTAGAGGAGGAGAACTGGAGCTACGTGGGACGTGTTCTATATGTAGCATCATAGGCCATATGCTGGGAAGAATTTGAGGAGAGCTACAACAACCACAGGTATAGTAGGAACTGCAGATGCTAGAGAATCTGAGATAACAAGGTGTAGAGCTGGATGAACACAGCAGGCCAAGCAGCATCAGAGGAGCAGGAAGGCTGACATTTCGGGCCTAGACCCTTCTTCAGAAATGGTACAGGTAGTTGTTTTATTAAAGAAAGATATTGATATTTAACATTTAAAATCCGGACATCTGTTGAGTCTTTGAAACGGATGAACAGATGTTGACTTCTTTGTTCGAAGGTCCATACACTGGGAACAAAAACACGAACATCTGTTTGAGCAGCTTTAAGACACCATTACACAGGCCTACTTTAAGGGGCAGTAGCCTCCAACTCTACCCTAGCCCTGTCCCTCTGGGAAGAAACAACTTGGGCACAGTTCTTTCAGAACTCAAATACAAAATCACAAAATGGTCCAACTTGGCCATGAAAATTTAGCCTGTGGATTCCAGACAACTTTGAATGCTTTTCTCAAATGAATTGAGAAAAATTTACAAAATAAAAACCAAAAGAACTGCGGACGCCGTAAATCAGGAACAAAAACAAAGTTGCTGGAAAAGCTCAGCATGTCTGGCAGTATCTGTGAAGGAGAAAACAGAGTTAACATTTCGGGTCTGGTGACCCTTCCTCAGAACTGATGGTGGCTGGGAAAACGTCAGTTTATATGCAGAAAATAAGGAGGTGGGTGGGGTAGGGAGTAAATGATAGGATAGAGCCCAAAGAGAAAGAAAGACAGTTGGACAGTCGAAGGAGTTGCTAACGATCAGGCTGGGAGGGTGAACAGTTGTTAATGGGGACTGTTAGTGACTAACAACAGGGGGTGTGTAATGGCAGGCTATGTGGTAACAAGGCCTGGTGTGTGGGGTGGGGGCATGGGAGAGTTTAGGCCCTAAAATTATTGAACTCAATATTGAGTCCGGAGGGCTGTAGGGTCCCCAAGCGGAAAATGAGGTATTGTGCCTCCAGCTTGCATTGGGCTTCACTGGAACACTGTAGCAAGCCAGAGACAGAGATGTTGGCCAGGGAGCAGGGTGGTGCAATGAAGTGGCAGGCAACAGGTAGTTCGGGGTCTTTTTTGCGAGCAGAACGTAGATGTTCTGCAAAGCGGTCGCCAAGTCTACGCTTCGTTTCCCCAATGTAGAGGAGACCATTTTGTGAGCAGCGAATGCAGTAGACTAGATTCTTGGGAGTGCAGGTGAAGCGTTGCTTCACCTGGAAGGTATGTTTGGGCCCTTGGATTCTGGGGAGGGAGGAGTTAAATGGGCAGGTGTTGCACCTCTGCCGGTTACAGAGGAAGGTGCCGTAGGGCTGTGGGGCGGTGTTGGGGGTGAAGGAAGTGTGGATCATGGTGTCCTGGAGGGAACGGTCCCTGTGGAAGGTGGACAAGGGAGGGAAGGGGAATATGTGTCTGGTGGTGGCATCTCACTGGAGGTGGCGGAAATGGCGTCTGATGATCTTCTGGATGTGGATGCTGGTGGGATGGTAGGTGAGGATAAGGGGAACCCTATCGCTGTTGCGGGAGGGAAGAGAAGGGGTGACGGCAGAAGTGCAGGAGATGGGTCGGACCTGGTTGAAGGCCCTGTCGACAACGGAGCTGGGGAACCCTCGGTTGAGGAAGAAGGTAGACATTTCGGAGGCTCTCTTGTCGAAGTTAGCCTCATTTGAACATACGCGACGGAGACAGAGGAACTGAGAGAATGGGATGGAGTCTTTACAGGAAGCGGGGTGTGTTTGAGAATAATTTACCACTGTTATTGACCATTATGTGGAAATTTAAACCTATTAAATGTTAGCAATGTGCACAGCAATGAATGATTTAAAATAAAAACGAGGGGAAAACAAAATTTTGCAAAGTACAGTGTAACTAATCAGTTCTCTGCAACATCTATCCGCTTTCTTTCATTCTCCTATCCTATTTCTATACCTTTTAATTACTCGTTTCTAATTTATCCACTTTGCCTTTAAAGATAACTATAGATATGGAAAAAGGAACAGAATCTATCAGGATATTCTACATTTCAGCAACTGGTGAAATTATATAAAAGCTCCTAATTGCTTACTTCAGTTTTTTTAATGTAAGGAATAAATGCCCAGTTTTGAAAAGCACGTTTTACGCATTGTACCATCACATTAAAACATTCAGACTGAAATATCTGGCATAATGTGAAGAACTATAAATTAACATTATCGAATAGAAGTCTCTGGAAAAGAACAAAATACCACAAGGTGCAAGAATGTTCTCTTTTCTCAAAATAAAGAAGCAAATTAGGGAAGCAATGATGATTGAAGCGACATTGAGGTATCAACCCAGTGACCACCATAACACAGGATTTCATGTCAAACAGAGGAAGTGGTATAAAAAAGGCAGAGTTACACAATCTCACATCCAATAGATCAGATCAAAGCTCTGCAGGCCAACTGTATATTTCGTATCTTGTTTAGTAAAACAAAAGACTGATCAACCAGGTTTATTTAATAGACACAAAATTATTTATTTTTTATAAAACATATTCAACAAAGATGCCAAACTGGTTAAACAGAGTATAAGTATGAATGTACAAGTATTTAATAATACAAATATTTTATCTCTGAATAACCTGAGGTACACACCAGGTAAAGGAAAATGGGGCATTCACTTTGGAGAAAACACACACCTTTGGCCAATAATGGTTAGTTCTTGAAGACAAAAAGTATAAAAGATGGCTGCCATTCTGGAGTTCTGGCACGTTTGGACAGGTCATTGACATCACAGGTTGCTGGATGTACAGCAGTTTTTGGCATTTATTTCAAAGACTCAACAAATACCTGGAATTTTGTTTAAAAAATTTAAGTACCAAAGCAGAGGGTTCAGGAAGTATATTCAATTTAATTATCTATATTATTTCTGATGTACTTGTTCAGGAAATATTGATACAAACACCCTCAGAGGCTTCCCATGCCAACCACCACATTGTTTTTTTTATTTCCCCTGTATCACACTGGAAACACCAGGATTATTTTCAGGAACAGGCGAGTTCAGCCGGGAAGTTTCTTTCCTTTAGCTGGCTGGACACCAACTCCACCTGCATCTGAAGTACTTTTAAACAGATATCTGCTCTCTTGCAGCCTTAAAACTGAGCCAGGTCACCTCTGACGCACAAGTCTAGCAATTGGCTGAAACTATGGTTTCCAAGAAATGCCTTGTTAAAAATGTTCTGAAATCCAAATTGACCTTATATTAAAAGGAAAACAATCCTGGTACCCTCAGAGCTTGAAATAAATTCATTTTCACCAATTCCCAAAAAAAAATTAAACACGCAGCCTACATAACAGCACAATTAAACAATTAACCCAAGATGGATCCTCCCCAATCCTCAATACAGGGAGATATCCTGCACATCAGTACAGTGACAAGAGTGAAATATTTGCAACCATCAGCCAGAAGTGATGAGTGGATGATACATCCCAGCACCTGTTCAGATCCCCAGTTTCACAGGTACCAGTCATCAACCAACCCAATGCACTATATAAGGGTGTAAACAACTGTCTTAGGATGATGGGCAAAGAAAGCCACTGCCCTGGTCAAGTTGTTCCATCACCGTTATATCAGTGACATCAAGTCAACAATGTGGAGAATTGCGCAGTTATGTCCTACCCACAAAAAAGCAGGGCAAATCCAATCTGGTCAATTACCACTCCATCAGTCTACTCTCCACCATCAGAAAAATGAGGCAAGGAGTTGTCAACAGTGCTATCAAATATCAATCAAAGCAATAACCTGGTCACTGATGTTCAGTTTGAGTTCTGGCAGGGACACTTGACTCCTGACCTTATTACAGACTTGGTCAAAATGGGGCCAAAAAGAGCTGAACAGAAGGAGGGAAGGATGAGATAACAAGGTGTAGAGCTGGATGAACACAGCAGGCCAAGCAGCATCAGAGGAGCAGGAAAGCTGACGTTTCAGGCCTAGACCCTTCTTCAGAAAACTTCAGAAGGGAAGGAAGAATGCCTTTGCTATCAAAGCATCATTTGATGAATGAAGTCAATGGGAATCATGAAAAACACTCCACTGGTTGCAGTCATAACTAGCACAAATAAAGATGGCTGTTTCAGGCTCTCAGTCCCAGAATATAGGTGCAGGAGATCCTCAGGATCATGTCCTAGGACCAACCATCTTCAGCTGTTTCAATGATGTTCCCTCCATCAGGAGGTCAGAAATAAGGAATTTTTGCTGATGATTGCACAAGGCCCAGTGCCATTCACAATTCATATTCTGAAGCAGTCCATCACTTTTAACAAGGATTCACTCTTCCGCCACTGACACAGTCTGGCGGACTGCAGGTGTTCAAGAACGCATCTCACCACCACCTTCTCAAGGGAAATTTAGGACAGGCAACAAGTGTTGGCCTTACCAGTGACACCAATGTCCCATGAAAAAAAAGGAAGAAAAATCAGGCATGTCTGATTGACAAACCATTAACAGACCAACTGCCCATTTGACAGAACAGTACACAAAGCATTCTGAATAGCAACTTTTTAAAATAAATGAACAAACATTTGGCAAAGTATTCAGTATATCTGTGAAGCAGGATTATATCATACCTTTCTTTGTCTGCTAGTCCAATGCATAAAGCTCTCCATTGGTATAAAGACTGATTACTTTCAATAATGACTGCGTTGACTAAATCATCTTTTTTAGGCACATAAAGCTGTGACATTCGGAGAGAATCAAGAGTGAAGAATATAATGTCATCCACTACACCACCTCGATGAAGTATTCGAGTTATTGGTACCTTCAAACAAGAAATGCAACAACAATATTCATTCTGATCAGTTGTGTTGAGATGAAAAGTTACAAGAGGAATGTTCTATCAACACAAATATAGTTTCCAGTTTGTGCAGAAATGGAATTTTATTCCCATTGAGCAGTAACATTACTTGCAAACGCATAGATGTAGCAGTAACCATTTTGGTTAGACTACACTGGGTACAATTCTAGTGGCCATTGTAAATAAAGTATACACTGGCATTGGAGTATGAAAAATCAAATATTTACAGGCAAAGATACCAGAATCTTGAAGGTATGCCTAACGGGGCATGAACGGGCTGGATTTATATTCTGAAAGGTGAACTTCGAGGGAACTACAGAGGTTCCACGTATGAGGAACAGCAAAATTAGTAGACTGCAATAAAAGACATTAATATCAGCACCTGTGGAGACAGAAACAGAGTTAACATTTTGGATCTAATATGACTTGTCTTCAGAATTCAGTGACTGGCAAAGTGAAGCCAATGGGATGTCTCCTCGTATATTGTCATGGAAACGTCAAACAGGGAAAGGCTTCACAAGAGAAAACAAAAGGGGACAACAGTCTCTCCTCTCTTGGCAGGAAGCCACCTCTTGCAGACTTGGTTTACCCTTCAGGTGTACACAAGGATAGATATAAAGCTGAATTCAACTCTACCGCTGTGGGCTGTTGGGACCGAACACTCTCATGAATACCCTGCCTGCATTCTAGCATTCGCGTGCTGTGAAGGTCAGTCACAGTTGAAGAAATGACACTCGAGAGTGCTGGAGTTAGTTTGAAATAAAAAAAGAAACAGGCAAGAAAGGACTCTTCCCTCACCCAGAATGCTGGTATGCAACCACAACCAAAAGGGAAGAACTCCAGAATGTCAGCTAATCTGCACAACTAAGGATCGTGAAGCTGACTGTTCATCTACCAATGTCAACACTAACAGTAACCTCCACTACAAAAGCTGCAACATTCTACTAAGTTTTCTTTGCTAACATTTCTGAGACTGATTCCTATAACTGCCTTTTAAAACCTTTTATCTTTTTGGATTCATCTCTTATTTCTACTGTGTTTGTGCTGTATTAGGATCTTCTTCCATGTAGTCATTCGCCAACCTCTGTTAGAGAAAAAGAATGCTTTATCTCCATTTTAAGTGGATACCCCCTGATTTTTATACAGTGACAAACATCCTCTCCACATTTACCCTTTCAAGATTCCTTAAGATCCTATTTTATTTCAAACAAGTCATTTCTAACTCTTCTAAATTCCATTAGATACCAGTCTATTCCATCCAACCTTTTCTTAGAAGCCAACCTGCCCACTCCAATGATAATAACATTCTATTAGCATCCTTAGTTACTTGCTGTACCTGCATTCTAACCTACTGTAATTAATGCAAAAGGACACCCAGATCCCTATACCTTGAATTTCTGTTTATTCTTACAGGCGCCGGAGTATAGCAACTTAAACACATTTTGTAAAAAAAAAAGTGACAATAAATGACTATTCTATTTTGTTCTCTGCTAGAATACCGCACATCTTTGAAATAAGAGATCACCCACTTAAGATAGCGATTGGGAGGAAATTCTTCTCTCAGAAGTTCATTGGCATTTAAAATTTGGTCCCCTCGGGAGCAAGGAGATGAGATCATTGAATATATTTGTGGCTGAGTTAGACAGTGCAGTCAATGTCACAACAGATCAACCACAGTCTTAGTGATGGGCGCAGCAAGCTTGACATACCAATTTTTTTTACTATTTATGTTAGAAAACACCAAATAGACACCACACAGTCATCAAATCTTATAGCATAGAATGTTAATCTGGTTTGAAAATTCTATCTAATAATTAGCTGCACCCCACCCCACTCTTTACCCAAAACCTGGCAACTCATTTTTCCTTTTCAAGTATTTATCCAAATCCTTTTTGGAAGTTGTTCATTTCTCCCATCCTTTCAGATCATGGCAACTTGGCGCATCAAAACAAACTGTCATCTCATCTCCCACTCCAAGATGGAGAGATGGCCCCACAGTTATTGCTCAGGGTCCCTGTTTATACCATACTATTGTAGTTAGTCAGAATTGTACAGCTCGGAAATGGACCATTCAGTCCAACTCATCCATGCAGACCAGACATCCTGGATAAATCTAGTCCCATTTACCAGCATTTGGTCCATATCCCTCTAAACCCTTCCTATTCAAATATCCATCCAGATGCCTTTTAAATGTATTAATTGCACCAGCCTCCTCTGGGAGCTCATTCCATACATGCATCACCTTCTGCATTCAAAGGTTGCCCTTCGGTCCCTTTTAAATCTTTCTCCAGTCACGTTAAACCTATGCCCTCTAGTTTTGGACTTCCCTACCCTGGGAAAAATATCCTGACTATTCACGCTATCCATGCCCCTCATGATTTTATAAACCTCTATAAGGTCACCCCTCAGCCTCTGATGCTCCAGAGAAAATAGCCACAGCCTATTCACCCTTTGCAAAAAGCTCAAACCCTGGCAACTTCTTTGCAAATCTTTTCTGAACCTTTTCAAGTTTAACAACATCTTTCCTATAGCAGGGAGAGAGGAATTGAACGCAGTATTCCAAAAGTGGCCTAACCAATGTGCTGTACAGTCACAATATGACCTCCCAACTCCTACACTCAATGCGCTGAGCAATAACAGTTAGTGTACCAAACGTCTTCTTCACTACCGTCTACCTGCGACATCACTTTGAAGGAACTATGAACCTGCACTCCAAGGTCCCTATGTTTGGCATAGGACCTTACCGTTAAGTGTATAAGTCCTGCCCTGATTCGCCCCACCAAAGTGTAGTGCCTCACATTTATCTAGATTAAACTCCAACTGCCACTTCTCGGCCCATCTGACCAAGGTCCCATTGCACTCTGAGGTAACCTTTTTTGCTGTCCACTAAACCACCAATTTTGAAGTCATCTGCAAATTTACTAACCATACCTTCTGTATTCACATCCAAACCATTCACATAAATGACAAAAATTGGATGTCAGGCAAATCACATACAAATTTTGGCAGTTATTTCTTTTTGTGCCAGGATAGAGAAGTTTCCACAAGTGAAAACTCTGTCTCTCTTCTCTTAAAACCTTTTAATAACTGAGCACTTCTATCAACTCATCCCTCAGAATACAGAATGAGCCTGTTCATCTTTCAATAGGTATGATTTTGCAGTTCCTGGTTTTTTTTGCATCATCTCCAATAGCTCTATATTCTTCCACTTAAAAAAAAAGACAGGCCCGGTTGACTAAATTATGGTGCTTGTTAAAAGGAAGAGCAGAAGGGTTAAAAGAGACATGGTTTAAAAAAGGTAGTAAAGGTAAGTTTGTGATTTAAAAGCAAATGTAAATTGAAGTATCTGGAGTGTGTCCCAAGCATGCAAGAATGGTCTCGCTATAAACTCAATAGGTATTTACAGCTGCAAAAATATTTTATGAAACATTCCAAAAGGAAGAACAGCAACTCAAGGGTTGGAAATGTAAATGACCTTTTACTCTACATTATTGATTCAATTTGTGTTTTCAAATTACAACTTGTTTCAGCCACTTTTCTTTTTAAGAGTCTTTTCATTTTCAATTCGTACTTACTTTATCAACTCGTTTATATCTAAGTGGTTTCAGGCAGTAAGCTTGGCTTTTCCAAGTTGTTGGTTCAATGGAGTATTGGGCCTGTACCCAGTCACCTTTATAAGGCTGAAAACCTGGAAGACAAATCCGCAGCACGTTTTACGCATGCACCTAAACTTTCAGAGTCCAAATAGATGTGAACAAGATTCCCAGTGCCCCAAATAGAAATATTCCAGCAAACCTTCATAATTTACTTACAGATGATTTTCATTTGTGGACTGGAAGTTTTTAAACCGCAAATTATTCACTTAGCACTCTTACCATTATCAAAAAGGGACTTCAGTCAACCTGGCCAGTCAGAGCCTACAAGTGACATAAGAATCATAGAATCCCAACAGTGTGAAAACAGGCCATTCGAATTGACAAATCCACACTGACTATTCAAAGATCATCCCACCCAGACTCACCCCACTACCCTATCCCTTAACCCGCATTTCCCATGGATAATCCACCTAATTCACACATCCCTGGACACTATGGGCAATTTAGCATGGCCAATCTACCTAACTGCACATCTTTGGACTGTGGGAGGAAATTGGAACACTTGGAAGAAATCCACGCAGACACAGGGACAATGTGCAAATTCCACACAGAGTTGCCTGAAGGTGGAATTGAACCCAGGTCCCTGGCACTGTGAGGCAGCAGTGCTAGCCACTGAGCCACCGTGCCGCCCAAGATTGTGTTGTTAACTAGCTGTGCCACCCCAGTTCTCCGGTGTCACATTTGTTAAACCTCAAATTAGAAGTCTATCACAAGTCTACGTGCAGCACAGAAATACAAGACCCTCACACAGCATAAAAGGAATGAAACTGGAAGCTAGACTGGCATTTGTGGCTGGCACACGGAGATAGTTTTAATTTTTTTTTGTGTTTGTGGGTCCGAATGAGACAGCAAGAAGTTTAATTATGTTCTGTTTACTTTTGTTTTGTTCATCATTCGTTTGTGACAAAAATGGACACATGAACTCCAAAGCTAAAAGTAATATAAAGAATAGCTAGTTTTGATTATTCTGTATGATGTTAATTCTAAATTAATGACAAATTCTTGCAGTTGATTTTATTTTTGTCTTCTCAGCTGCAGCTCCAGATAACATTTTTTTCTATGACTCTGGTGGTTGGTGGTGAAAGCAAACAAAACATATATGGAAGTAAATTTTTAAAAAAAAGCAGGGCATGAAAGCCATTCAGACCAATCAATTCATAAGATCATAAGATACACAAGCAGAATTAGGCCACTCCGCCCATTGAGTCTGCTCTGTTATTCAATCAAGGCTGATATGTTTCTCAACTCCATTCTCCTGCCTTCTCCCCGTAATCCTTGATCGACTTGCTAATCAAGAAACTCTCTTGGTCTTAAAGACACTCAACAACTTGGCCACCACAGCTCTCTGCAGCAATGAGTTCTACCAATTCACCAACATCTGGCTGAAGAAATTCCTCCTCATCTCAGATCTAAAGAGTCATCCCTTCACTGTCAGGCTGTGCCCTCAGGCCCTAATCTCTCCTACCAGTGGAGACATCATCTCCATACCCACACTCTCCAGGCCTTTCAGTTTTCTGTAAGTTTCAATCAGATTTTCCACTCATCCTTCTAAGCTCCATCAAGTACAGACTCAGAGCCCTCAATATCTCCTCATATGACAAGCTTTTCATCCCCTGGATCATTTTTGTAAACCTCCTCTGGATCACTTCCAAGACCAGAACGTCCTTCCTTAGTTACAAGATCCAAAACTGCTCACAATATTCCAAATGCAGTCTGACCAGAGACTTATACAGCCTCAGCAGTACATCCCTGCTCTCGTATTCTAGACCTCAAAATGAATGCTAACATTGCATTTGGTTACATAACTGCCAATTAAACCTGCATGTTAACCTTAAGAGAATTCTGAACTAGGACACCTAAGTTCCTTTGCGCTTCAGATTTCTGAAGCCTTTTCCATTCAGAAAATAATCTATGCCTCTATTCTTCCTACCAAAGTGCATAATTTCTCACTTTCCTACATTCTATTCCTTCTGCCACTTCACCTCTCCCCCACTTCTCCTAGCCTGTCCAAATCCTTCTGCAGCTTCGTTAATACTACCTGTCTCTCCATCTACCTTGGTGTCATCTGCAAACATAGCAACAATGCCCTCAGTTCCTTTGTCCAGATCATTAATGTATAACTTGAATATTTGTGGTCCAACAATGATCCCTGTAGAACTTCATTAGTCACTGGCTGCCATCTTGAAAAAGCGTCCTTTATCCCCACTCTGTCTTCTGCCAGTCATCTAATCCTCTATTTATGCCTGTACCTAAACCCTAACACCATCGGCTCTTATCTTATTTAGCATCCTCCTGTGTGAACGATGTCAAAGGCCTTTTCGAAATCCAAATAGATCACGTCCATTGGCTCTCCTTTGTCCAACTTGCTCATTACTGCCTCAAAGAATTCTAACGGATTTGTCAGGCATGACCTCCTTTTGATGAAGCCATGCTGACTCGGTTCTATTTTACTATACATTTCCATGTACTCTGCAATCTTGTCCTCAACAATGGGCTGTAAAATCTTGCCAATGACCAAGGTCAGCCAAGCCAGCCTGCAAGTTTCCACCATCTGCCCCTCTCCTTTTTTTGAATGAGGCTGTTACATCAGCCATTTTCCAGTCCCCTTGAACTCTCCCTGACTCGTGATTCCTGAAGATCACCACCAATGTCTCCACAATCTCTTCAGCTATCTCCTTCAGAACTCTAGTGTGTAATCCATTCGGTCTGAGTCATTTATTCACCTTCCCCAGCACCCTCTCCTTAGTGGTGGCCACTACAGTCACCTGTTTCCTGACTCTTGAATTTCTGTTTTGCTATTTGTATCTTCCACCGTAAAGACTGATGCAAAGTACCTATTCAGTTCCTCTACCATCTCTACTTCTCCAGCCTCGTTCTCTAGCATTCCAATGTTTATCCTCTGCTCTTACTTTTTATACATCTAAAAAGACTCTGGCAATATTCTTTTATTTTACTCACTAGTTTACTCTCATTTCATGTTCTCACCTTTAAGAACCAGCAGAGGACAACAAAAAAAGAAATGAAGGCGTCTCATTAATCATTACCACATCGAATGCTTTCTGTTTTGTTTTTACCCTATCCCCAACTTCCCTTGACAGCATGATTGCTTCGTTCTCCCCTTTATTTGGTTCTTCTTCCTTGGGATGAGTTTCTGCTGTGCTTCCAGAATTATCCCCAGAAACTCCTGCCATTGTTATTTCACCAGCTTTTCTGCTTGGCTCTCCATTCAAACAACTCTGGCCAGCTCCTCCCTCATGTCTTTGGCATTTGCTTTACTCATTGTAATATTGTTACATCTGATTCAAACTGCAGGGTGAATTCTATCATATTGTGGTCGCTGTCTCCGAGGGGTTCCTTCACCTTAAGCTCCCTAATCAAGTCTACCTCATCACACATCACCAAATCCAGAATAGCCTGTCCTCTAGTGGGCTCTACCACAAGCTGCTACAAAAAGTATTTTGTAGAAATTGTGGGGTCTGCTGCCAATCTATTTTCCCAGTCCACTTGTGTACTGAAGTCCCCTATGATTATTGTAATAGTGCCTTTCTTACATGCTCAAATCTCCTCATGTATTTTCTGCCCCACATCATGAATACTGATAGGGAGTCTGTACAGAACTCCGATCAGGATCTTTCTCCCTTTGCAGTTCCTCAACTTTACCCACACAGATTCTACACCTTCTGACCTTATGTTTCATCTTGCAGTGGATTTAATTTAACTTCTTACTAACAAGAAGTTATGGTATACTCAAGCTTCCTCCTACCTTTGCTAACCTAACAATATTAAATTAATCTTCTATTCCTTTCTCTCTCACATACTTACCTTATACTATATTCTTCCTTTCAAATATTCCCTGTTCTTGCGTGTTCTACATTCTTGCAACTCCCTGAGCGAAGCAGTTTCTTTAGAATTCCTGATTGGATTACTTGGTGGTTCAACAGTTAGCACTGCTGTCTCACAGTACCAGGGATCTGGGTTTGATTCCACCCTACAGCGACTGTCTGTGTGGAGTTGCTGACATTCCCCACAGTGTTCAGGGATGTGCAGGCGAGGTGGACTGGCCATGGGAAATGCGGGATTCTATGAATAGGGCAGTGGTGGGGTGGGGTGAGTCTGCATGGATCACTCGAGAGGGTCAGTCTGGATTCGATGGGCCAAAGGGGATTGTAAAAAGTTTTCTTCGAATGGCCTTTCATTGAAGCAGAAATTAGATCGTTTGGAATAGAACAATTTTTGATTTTAAAAAAGACTATAAACACATGTGGTATTATTACGAATGGGTGGGGACACTCACACTTAGAAAATCCAAGCACTCTCCTCAGAAATATGAAGAGAAAACAAGCACCAGAAAGTGCCGCTTGCCTGAGGAGAGATAACTTTTTGTGTAGCATGAACGTCAACACTGGCTGGTTGAACTGAGCAACTAGTTTCTGTGCTGTAATTTGAATGCAAGTATGATTTAGCACTAATAATCTGCTAGTGACTTTCCCCACCCAGCTCAACTGTGTGCGCAGATCATTGAATTGGAGGCATTCTATGTTGGTATGCTTTCCAGCAGAGTTACTCCATCCAATTGAGAAAATCAATCCTAGATTTCTTACCCAAAGAACAGGGAGTTACGCCCTTCTTCAGAAAATACTTTCAGTTCAGTAACTGAGCACTTACTAACAAGAATGAACATACGATCAATTTATAAAGTTTGGACATGCCTTACATTCAATACATCTATCTTTTCTCATAAAATATGCATTGCACCTTCAAAAGTTACAGCTGGCACTGAAGGAAGTTGGAAGCTAATTATGCATGATTTCTAAACAAAACAAAAATATGGCTGCGCTTTTACCTTCACATACATCTGCCAGGGAGAAGTAAGTTGTTTCATTAATGTAGCCACCATCTTTGGTGCATGAAGTTATAACGCCTATCAAGTTACGATTTTCATTTTCTGCTGGAGAACGTGTGTATGCGCTGCAAGTATCATTATCATCCTCCCACTGATTAGTTACAGGTTCCACCTAAATTCAAAAAAGTGTACAAATCATCAAAACCAATTAAAAAGTTTTCAACAATCGTCCAATTTTGCATATTTGCAATTTAAGTTCTCGATTAACAACTGAAACATAATTTATACAACTGATGTCCAAAACGCAAGTTCATTTGTAATTCTACAGTGCTAAGATTAAAAACAGTTACATCCAAAATTGATTTTATGAATTAGGCAATTACCCAATTTACTTTTGTAAATAATTTCTGAATAGTTTTAGACCAGTAATTCCACAATTTAATTTGCAACTGACAATTTATGGACACTTAATAAAAATGAAAAATGTAAATAATGGAGAGGAAGAAATTAACCGCATTTAACATGAGCGAGTGTGGGTGGTAGGCACTCTTTATCCTGGAACCAGATTAGTAATTGTTGCTCATCAAATGGGAATATTCTGGCAAATGTAAGAATTTTAACATAACTTCAAAATAATAAGACCCTTCAAATAGGTTTGATCAGAATATTAACCTCATCACCTTCCTTGTGCAATGATGAACTACCCAAACTTTTTAATTGGTCACTTTGAAGATACCTCATTCCTTATAGCCAAGTAACGTCTGTACCACGCTTATTTTAACATGGCAAACTAGCAGCTTCAAAATAGCAGGCCCTCTGTGAAAAATAACAATAGGGTACAGGCAAGTTTCTTGCATGCTCAAGATGAAAGGGTATTGCTAAGAACATATGGGAACTACTTCCACATTTGATCCATGCAATAATACACTTCACCTAACATTGTGCCATTACCTAATGACCAAAAGCTTGCAGTCTATTCTCCAGCACTGGCCCCTCTCTTCTTAACATGCTACCAAAATTGACGAAGAAAATGGTTTCTCAGTTTGGGATAGCAAGGTGCATTTATACATTATTAAAATTAAATGAGGCTGCATTTGCAGCCATTATAAACAAACTTTTTTTTTTAAACTGTACATACTACCATCAAAAATCAACAAGCAAGCATATTTTGGTAATCAGCAGTATTTTCACTAAACTGGTTTACATCAAGGATAACAGGATCACCTGTATGCAACTTGATAGGGTATGATATTTTGTATTTTGTCAGGGATGGTAATTCAAAACAGTGAGATCCACAGAAACTCTAGCAAGGTTGAAAAGAAACTTTCCTAGCTTGTCTTACACTGGAATGTGTACTTGAATCCTATTTCTACATATTCTGTCCATTCTCCCTCTACTCCTCAATATTTTTCTCTAAGTCTTCATACAATTCTCTTTCAGCGTGTTACAGGTCCAATGAGTGTTGGATAATGTGTTCTGTATTCTAACAACACAATGCAGGAAAAGAAGACTTCAAACCTCCACCTCTAAAATCTGTTCAAAGGATTGAGAACTTTGATTAGATTTCACTTTGTTAGTTTTCTTTGCTTCACTGACTATGAGAGTTGTCCACCAATATTTTTTCAACCCAGGCATTATGTTTCTTACAGCTCTGTCATCAATCCATAACAGGAGTGTCCAAGCTTGTGCTAACAACTTTTGAGCAGATGGAAATAAATGTAAAGAATGTGAATGATATCAAAGTAGACAAGGGAACCTTTAGCAACAGAAGTAACAATGAAAAATATCTACACTTTTGAGCGCAGCTGGACATTATAGAGAATTATACTGGTTGAAAAATTAAGTAACCAATAAACATGTTATCAGCTCAGTATCATATTGGTCAAACATTCTTAATGATCACTATTCTAAACATCAATTTGTACACTGGTTACCAATTCTTGGGCATTTAAAAAATACTTGTTGCGTAAGATTTGTGTACAGCATAAACAACTTAACTAATAGAGCGCCTTGATCCTTGAAAAAATGCCTCAAGGCTCTTCACTGACAAAGTCAAAGACAGATCATTGAATGGATGTTCATGGTCATGGCATATCGGTGGGAAAAGAAACCAGTAAGACATTCCGCTACACCTGCTTACATAATAGAATTAAACAACGGGAGTTTTGAACTGCACTAAGGTGCAAGCTTTGGAACAGGATGGTATAGTTGATTATGCCAAAACCTGCAAAGACGTCAAAGGGATTAAACAGTAACATTACACCATTCTCTTACCCAGAGGATGTTGTTTACAACATAGATTCAACTATTTTGGTGCTATGGGAAGACAAAGGCACACATTTGGAAGGCAAAAGCACCATACAAGGACTTGGGAGATGGGATGGCAGTTTGCAAAGGGAAGAAATAATGATGGGTTTTCCTGAAAGAAAGAATGATGATATATATTTCTTGCTGATTTTAATTGGGCATGAAAAGCAGCTCTGTAAGAGTCAGGAGTAGGGAATGTGCAAAAATTCAACATCAGAAAACAAGACAACACAGTTTGAAGAAGAATAGATGTTCAAGACATCAACTTGGTCTTTTCTCTTCACAGAGACAGAATGACTGAAGTATTTTTGGTCGATTTTTCATATTTTCAACAATTGTAACTTCTACTATCAACTTTGGAAGAGAATGATGACATTTTGGAATAGACAAAAACTCAAAAACTGTGTGCTGGAACAAAGATATTGCTCATCTCGTTTTTACATTGATTTTACAACTCATGAATTATATCAAGTGTGAACCAATCCAGTTATTTGTGGTTAAAAATTTTAGAAGAATGCACTTTGAAATGCAGAGTATAGCATAATAGAAAATGGCTTGGATTTGTATAAAGACCGGGGCGTGGGCTCTCTCCAGCCTAGCCAAAATGCTACAGGAGCCTCTATTCTGAATATTTATTCCCAAATTGTGACTTATGGGTTTCACAGTTTTCAGGAGAAGTATAAAACTGCCACAGTTGTTTAGAGAGGCAGAATCGACTTATTGACAGGTGCAAGGACACTTTTGAGAGAGGTCATGCCATTTGGGATCATAAAAGGTAGATGGGAATGTGAGCTTTAAAACAAAAAAGCAGATTAAGATCATAATGACTGTCAATGCATTGAAAATGCCCTGGTCATTAAACATTGGAAATAACTGCTTGTTATTTCAATGTCATTCATACAAGCTGAAGGCTATCATTAGAGAATTTGTGCTATATGATTGATCTAACAATTTGTTACTGAGCTGCTTGTCAGTTAAGCGATTGATTAAGGAGGTCCACAGACTTATAATTTTTTTTTTTGAGAGGGGCTATAAATAAAAACACTTGTTTTCGTAAAGGATTATGTAGGTGAAGGATGTTAGACATAGTGAATGAGTTTTTGAACAGATTTTTTAAACTTGTGAATTCATCAATGGATACTAAAAACTTATTTCATCTCAGCAAGGGTTCTCAGATCTTATCACTGTGGCTACTGAAGTGAATTGCTATCGAAGTCATAAAGACAAAGGATGGCATGTGGCATGGGCTGGCATGTGTTAGTATAGGGCTTTAGAGGATCATGGGAGCAGGTGGAGACCACAGCTTGGCAATGGATCAGAATGGTAAATGGGGGAGGGGGACATGGTGTGGAGAGATGGATGTGTGTGGCGATTCGGCGTTTTGGCTCTGGTAACTTTTCCTTAAAATCAATCGCCAAGTAGCCCTGGACCACTGAGTCAGGCCATTCCCTCTGCATGTGGCGGCACCTGCTGTTAACTTCAACTCTCTCCTAAGACAAGAAGAAGCCTGACTCCAGGTAACACCTGTCCCACCCATTGACAAAAAATTAAATCAGCCTATCCAGGGCACTTTCTTCCATGTTAGGCTTGTGGAGATGCAGATTTTCCCCGACATTTATCTCAGGGACAAACTTTTTGGCCTAAGTGATTATTTGTACCACCTCCTACCTTGACTGCTTTCCAACCTCCTGAAGTCTCGTTTTTTTGGGCCACTACGTTCACTTTTTGGCCGACTTGCAAAGGCATACCTCCCAGCACATCGCTGGAAGTGAAGTAAATGGAGTCATCAACTAAACCATACTTGCCACAAAATCTGGTCACAGTCGCTCCAAGTACATTTTTATACTCTGTACAATCTTTAAAACAAAAACAAAGTTATTAATATTACTGGCAGAATTCAACCAACTGTATGCTGTAATATTAAAAACAATGGAATCAGAAAACCAGACTTCCTTATAGTTGAAAATAATTGCACTTATTTGAATGGGTTCTCGAAATCCTAAATTTGCTGCAGAATGGTATACAATCACCTGATGCTGAATACATTACGAAACCACATTAGACCAAAAATTTAGGGGTAATTCTTGCTTTGTTTTGGATAGCTGATCTCAACTGGGACAGCTTTTGAAATATTCTACTTAGCCTCAGTGCCCTTTGTTTTTAATTTTTCCTTAGCTAAATTTACACTCCTGATTATTGGTCAATGTTCTTTGCTGGAACATAATGCATGTACACATAAAAACGTACACACTTCAGGTGGGAACATCGTTGAGATGCTTTCACCATTGAATAACTTACACATGGTAGACCTCACAAGGTCAGCAGTTTGGGGTGCCAGCTGCTCACAAACATTGTGTAGTTCACGGCTATGAGAAGGCAGCAGATAACAAACACAAGCACACTAGCTATGATCACTGATAACAAAACAAGAACTCCTTCTCATGGGGCCATCAGTTGTTTTCTTTACTCAAAAGGGTAATGATCCCATAGAAATGTCTACCACAGGCTGTTGGGGCCAAGTATATTCAAAGTAAGAGATAGATGATTTGTTAGATTTTAAAGGCATCAACAGGTATGGGGAGAAAAAGGGAACATTGAGATAAAGAATCAACATGACCATATCGAATGGTAGAACAGGCTCGAATGCCCTTCTCCTGTTCCTAGTTTCTATGCTTTCATGTTTGCATAGAGAGGGAGGAGGGGAAGAGCAGTTGGGAGCTGCTGTACACAGCAATGAAAGGATACCATAGGACTAGATTAGTTCTGAAGAAGGGTCACCAGACCCGAAACGTTAACTCTGTTTTCTCCTCCACAGATGCTGCCAGACCTGCTGAGCTTTTCCAGCAACTTTGTTTTTGATACCATAGGACTGGCAGCTGTCTGTGCAGGACACAGATGGATTGGGGGTTGAGGGGTGGGGTGGGGGAAGTGCAGAGAGAGGCAAAGAAATGGATGCAACCACGTAATAACTGACTTCTGCAACCTAAAATCTTACGTAAATCTGTTAAAGCAGTTGCCATCAATTTTGTTCTTGGCCACTCCAATTCTGTTATGCGCAATGCTTGCATGATTTCAAAGCATTCTTGTGCAAATATTGTATCCAGTCTAAGATTATTATTGTGTTTAATAATGATTATTATGCATTACAGTTATGAGCCACTCAAGCAATGGATAAATGTTACATGACTACAGCTTCAAGAATATCAAAATTGGAAGACTAAGAATCAGTGTATTTTCAGAGAGGAGAGAAAATATAATGCACCTTTAAGTAGAAGCTTCTATACTGGGTTGAGGGGATCACAGTAATCCCGACAAATTCCAACACCATCTAAAACTCTTCTTTATATAGTGTGTAAAATACATTACTGTCATTTGGGAATTTAGATTTTTAAAATAGAGTCAGACTGTTTTTGGTTTCAGTAACTTCCTTTCTTAAAAACAATCATAATTTCATTCAGAAGAGATGTAAATAAATCACTTCCGAGAAAGCATGCAAATTGGTAAGGGCCCAGCTTCATATCTGTGGTAAGCAATGAAGTGTTTATACAGCTGAAAAACATTGAAAAATAAATGATCAAAGGCTACTGGTAAGTTGGCTTGTGTGCAGTTCTGCAGAATCAGGTTCTGGTTTCATTCCGGCAGAAGAAATGGGTTGTCAATTCAGGAGAACAGTTTGACCCTCGCAGGCAGGTTAGTTTGTGAAGCCTTCAAACTGGGAGAGTCTGTATAATGTTTTCAAGCTGTACTCTAAAGAAGATTGCGGAGAAAGATTTGAAACCTGTTTTGCTGTTTATGTTCAGCTCTAAAAGTTTTCCTTTCCTTTTATTCATTCACGGAATGAGGGTGTTGCTGGCTAGGCCAGCATTTATTGCCCATCCCTAATTGCCAAGAAGGCAGTTAAGAGTCAACCGCATTGCTGCACTTCTGAAGTCACATGTAGGCCAGACCAGGTAAGGATGGCAGTTTCCTTCCCTAAAGAACATTAGTGAACCAGATGGGTTTTTCCAACAATCGACAATGGATTCATGGTTATCATTAGATTCTTAATTCCAGATACTTATTGAATTCAAATTCCACCATCTGCTGTGGTGGATTTTGAACCTGGATCCCCTGAATGTTATCTGGGTCTCCGGATTAACAGTCCAGCAATAGTAACACTAGGCCATCGCCTGCCCATTTTCTTTAAACATATAGAATCAATCATAGAATACCCAAAAGCGTGGAAACAGGCCCTTCGGCCCAACAAGTCCACACTAACCCTCACAGCATCCCACCCAGATCCATCCCCCAATAACTCACCTAGCCTACACATCCATGAACATTGTGGGCAATTTAGCATGGCCAATCCACCTACCCTGCACATCTTTGGACTGTGGGAGGAAACCCACGCAGACACAGGGAGAATGTGCAAACTCCACACAGACAGTCGCCCGAGGGTGGAATCGAACCCGAGTCCCTGGTGCTGTGAGGCAGCAGTGCTAACCACTGAGCCACCATGCCGTTTGCTTATTTTCATTTGTATCATAAAGTTGTGTTCTTTCATTAAATAACATGTACAGCTCTTAGTGAATATGTTCAGTGACTAAAACATCACAGTAACCAACAGTAAGTTCAATATTTGCTATGAAACCAGGTTTCACACTGGAATCTGACCTGCCCTGTATTATAATCAGATGGGCTCATAACAATGGTAAAATATTAAAAATATTCCATACTCTAATTTTTAGACGAGAGTGACTGATGTTAGGAATCTAGAAAATGAAACATTAAACATTCAAAATATGATGTGGAGGTGCCAGTGTTGGACTGGGGTGGACAAAGTCAGAAGTCACACGTCACCAGATGATAGTCCAACAGGTTTATTTGAAATCACAGCTTTCAGAGCATAGCCCCTTCGTCAGGTGAAGCTGCCATTTTGAATTGCTGCAGTCCATGTGCTTTAGGTAGACCCACGATGCCATTAGGGAGGGAATTCCAGCATTTTGAACCAGCCACATATTTCCAAGTCAGGATGGTGAATGGCTTGGAGGCGACCTTGCAGCTGGTATATCAGTATATCTGATGCCCTTGTCCTTCTAGATGGAAGTGACCGTGGGTTTCGAAGGTGCTAAGGATCTTAGGTGATTTTCTGCACTGCACCTTTTCGATAGTACACACTGCTGCTACTGAGCATTGGTGAAGGGAATTGTTGTTGTGGATGCGTTGCTAATCAAGTTGGCGGCTTTGACCTGCACGTATCAAGCTTGAATGTTGTTGAAGCTGCTCCACATGCCCGGATGGATGAGTATTCCATCATACTCTTGCCTTGTACATGGTGGCTAGGTTCAGGGGAATCAGGATGTAGTAACTTACTGCAGTGTTCCTAGCATCTGACCTGCTCTTGTAGCTACCGTGTTTATGTGGCAAGTCCAGTTGAGTTTCTGGTCAATGGCAACCCGTGGATTCACCGATGGTAATACTACTGAATGTCAAGAGGCAGCTGTTAGATTGTTTCCTACTGGAGATGGTAATTGCCTGGCATTTGCGGGGCGCAAGTGTTACTTGCCACTTGTCAGCCCAAGTCGGAATGCTGTCTAGATCTTGATGCATTTGGACATGGACTGCTTCAGTGAACAGTGCTGAACATTGTGTAATTATCAGTGAACATCCCCATCTCTGACCTTATGATGGATGGAAGGTCATTGAAGAAGCACCTGAAGATTGTTGGTCCTAGGACACTACCCTGAGGAACTCCTGCTGAGATGTCCTGGAGCTGAGATGACTTCCTCCACCAGCCACAACCACCTTCCTATGCATCAGGTATGACTCCAACCAGGAGAGTTTGTCAACTAATACCCATCGATTCCTGTTCTGCTCAGGCTCCTTGATGCCACACTTGGACGAACGCAGCCTTGATGTCAAGGACTGTCACTTTCACCTCACATCTGAAATTCAGCTCTTTTGGTCATGTTTGAACCAAGGCTGTGATAAGGTCAGGAGCTGAGTGGCCCTGGTGGAACACAAACTGGGCATCACTGAGCAGGTATTGCTTGATGGCAGTGTTGATGACACCTTCCATCTCTTTACTGCTGATCAAAAGTAGACTAATGGGGTGGTAATTGGCCGGTTTGGATCTGTCCTGTTCTGTGTGTACAGGACATACCTGGGTGACACGGTGGCTCAGTGGTTAGCACTGCTGCCTCACAGCATCAGGGGCCTAGGTTCAATTCCACCCTCAGGCGACTATCTGAGTGGAGTTTGCACATTCTCCTCGTGTCTGTGTGGGTTTTCTCCAGGTGCTCCGGTTTCCTCCCACAGTCCAAAGATGTGCAGGCTAGGTGGATTGGCCATGCTAAATTGCCCATAGTGTTTGGGGATGTACAGGTTAGGTGGGTTATAGGGGGATGGGATGCTCTGAGGGTCAGTGTGGACTTGTTGGGCTGAAGGGACTGTTTCCACACTGTAGGGATTCTATCATTCTATGATTTTCCACATAGGTTGGGTAGATGCCAGTGCTGTAACTATTTTTGGAACAGCTTGGCTAGGGGAACAGCTAGTTCTGGAGCACAAGTCTTCAATACTATTGCCGGAGTGTTGTTAAGGCCAATAGCCTTTGCTGTATCCAGTGTTTCCAACCATTTCATGATATCACATGGAATGAATCGAATTGGCTGAAGACTGGTATCTGTAATGCTGCAGACCACTGATGGAGGCTGAGATGGAGCATCTGTTTGGCACTTCTGGCTGAAGAATGCTGCAAACGCTTTAACCTTATCTTTTGCACTGGTGCGCTGGGTTCTTCCATCATTGAGGATGGGAAAATTTTTGGAGCCTCCTTCCGCAACAAGTTGTTCATGAATGGATGTAGCAGGATTGCAGAGCTTAGATCTGATCGCTTAGCTCTATCACTTGCTGCTTACGTTGTCTGTCATGCAAGTAGTCCTGTTTGGTAGCTTCACTAGGTTGACAATTCATTTGTAGGTATGCTTGGTGCTGCTCCTGGCATGCCCTCCTGCACTCTCTATTGAACCAGGGTTGATCCCTTAGCTTGACGGTAATGGTTGAGTGGGGGATATGCCGGGTCATGAGGTTGCAGGTTGTGCTGGAGTTCAATTCTGCTGCTGCCGATGGCCCACAGTACCTCATGGATGCCCAGTCTTGAGTTGCTACATCTGTTTGAAGCCTGTCCCATTCTGCACAACGATAGTGCCACTTCGTCTCCACAAGGGCTGTATGGTGGTCACTCTTGCCGATACTGTCTTGGACAGATGCATCCGCAGGCGGCAGATTGGTAAGGAGGAGGTCAAAGTTGGCTCCGTCACCATCTGCCGCAGACACAGTCTAGCAATTTTAGTCCTTTAGGAGCCAACCAGCTTGATCAGTAGTGCTGCTGCTGAGCCAATCTTGGTGGTGGACATTGAAATACCCCTCCCAGAGTACATTGCGCCTCCTGGCCATCTTCAGTGCTTCCTCCAGTGTTATTCAATATTGAGAAGTACCAATTCATCAGTCAAAGGAGGACAGTACATGGTAACCATGAGGGTTTCTTGTCCATGTTTAACCTCAAGCCACTAGACTTCATGGGTTCCAAGGTCAATGTTGCAAACTCTCAGGGCAACACTCACCACTGTGCTGGCGGGACAGGACATATTCAGGGATGGCGATAGTGGTGTCTCGGGCTTTGGTAAAGTATGGCTCCATGAGTATGTCAGACTGTTGCTTGACTAGTCTGTGAAACAGCTCTCCCAGTTTTGGCACGAGCCCCCAGATGTTAGTATGGGAGATCATGCAGGGTCAACAAGGCTGTTTCTGCTGTTGTCTTTTCAGGTGCCTGGTCAATACCTGGTGGTCCACCTGCCACTTCAATGCACCACCTTGCTCGCTGGCCAACATCTCTGTCTCCGGCTTGCTAGAGCGTTCCAGTGAAGCCCAGCACAAGCTGGAGGAACACCACCTCATTTTCCACTTGGGGACCCTACAGCCCTCTGGACTCAATACTGAGTTCAATAATTTTAGGGCCTAAACTCTCCCATGTCTCAGCCCCCCACCCCACACACCAGGCCTTGTTACCACATAGCCTGCCATTGCACACCCCCTGTTGTTAGTCACTAACAGTGCCCATTAACAACTATCACTCTCCCAGCCTGATCGTTAGCAACTCCTTTGTCTGTCCAATTGTCTTTCTCTGTCTTTGGGCTCTATCCTATCATTTACTCCCTACCCCACCCACCTCCCTATTTTCTGCATATAAACTGACGTTTTCCCAGCCACCATCAGTTCTGAGGAAGGGTCACTGGACCTGAAACGTTAACTCTGTTTTCTCCCCCACAGATGCTGCCAGACCTGCTGAGCTTTTCCAGCAACTTTGTTTTTGCACCTGGTTTCATTTCTTTGTTCAGATGCCATAGCGATTGACATAACTCAGTGGCTTGTTAGGCCATTTCAGAGGGCAGTTGAGAGTCAACCACATTGCTGTGGATCTGGAGTCACATGTAGACTTGACCAGGCTGGGATGGCATAATTCCTTCCCCGAAAGGCATTAGTGAGCCAGATGGGTTTTTTCCAACAATCAACAATGATTTCATGGTCTTCAGTAGGTAATTTTTTTTATTGAATTCAAATTCAGGGTTCGAACCCAGGTCCCCCAGAACATTAGCTGAATTTCTGGATTAATAGCCTGGCAATAATACCACGAAGCTATTGCTTCCTCTGACTTACTGTACGCGGCTTATGGTGCAAAAAGCTGGCAAGAAATCTACAAGCAGTAGCAGCAGCAAACTATGTAAAGCATAGCAAGTTTTTCACATACTATTGACAATGGCATGCAATGAATGTTTGTTGAATAAGAAAGGGGTGCTTCAAGTGATCTGTAGAGTCTAAATGTTTCATTTCAATGACAGCCATACATGTGGTTATATGCATGTTATTGTTGTTATACCAAACAAAGACATTTTCTACTTTAATACCTGCGGTGTCGTAACAATCCTGTTCCAAGTCATTGTCAGCTTTTCTCCAGAAGAAGGCAGTAGCTTTCAAGAACAGGGAAAGCATTGCTGGTATTTTTTCAACGTATCTAAATTGAAGACAAAATCTTAATATTGATGACATGCAGTTTGACACATTGGGCAATACAATGAAAGAACTGCTTAACCGTCATTGAAAATCTACAAATTTCAGCTTGGACAAGTAATTTTTAATTTCTTTACAGCAGAATGCTTCAGAATAACACAGTGGCTGCCAAGCTCAGTTGAAGTTAGCAAGATCACTCAAATTAGTCACAGCACCATTGCTACTACCTTCTGCTGGCTGGGAGCCAGCTCCCATATGGGTGTAGTCATTGTTTATTGATTATAGTGAAGTTTGATTTTGTGGTTTAGTTTTACCTCCGTGTTTAGCACCAACTCAATCATAATATCTAACTAAAAAAGTAAACAAACAAAATCATATGGTGAACAAAAACCGAAGGAACTGTGGATGCTGTAAATTAGGAACAAAAACAAAGTTGCTGGAAAAGCTCAGCAGGTCTGGCAGCATCTGTGAAGGAAAAAACAGAGTTAACGTTTCAGGTCCAGTGACCCTTCCTCAGAACGGTTTTTTCCTTCACAAATGCTGCCAGACCTGCTAAGCTTTTCCAGCAACTTTGTTTTTGTTGTGAAAATCATATGGTGGCTGTATTAGAATATATTTACATTTTATAAAGAATATTAATAGGTTTATGCATCATATGCACACAGATATTGATCTCTACTTCATCCATAGTATCATGGTATGGTAACAGCAGAAAACATGGCAGTCAATGATAAAAACTCCAATGCTTAAGGATAAAAGGCAATTAATTCATATAGTTGATTGGTAAAACACAACTGTGTTGCTAAAACAAAAAAAAACGTTATCGAAGCTTTTGGTCTTGTGTTCAGTCAAATCACAGGAAACATCAAAGTAAAGAGAAAACAACACAGACGGTACGAGAGCAGAGTGCTGATTGGTTGGCAAGTAGACTGTGATTAGTAGAGGTGTTGCCACGGCAGATGCCCAGTTAAAGATGATGGACAGTTAAGTTCCAAGCTTTGCTTAAATTTTAAAGCCGGCAGATCTATTCTGATTTCCCACACCACTGACCAATGAACCAGAGAATGGCTCCCATCTATTTTGTTGAGTTGAAACACCTGGTGTGTGTAATCTTTCTGTCTGCAAAGTGCAGGAGCCCATGTATCATGTTATCCCTCACTAGGGTAGCACGTGGGACATCAAGCCCCACTACTCCAGGAGTTGGCAGAAAAGTTAAATGATTCTAAGAAGTGCACAGGATTCCCTAATTTACCTGTATCTATAGACAGAGGTTGACAGAAAGCACAGATCAGGTTTCTGACCTATCAAGAATGATCCTTGATTACAAATTAACAGATTTTAGCTACTATGAACTGTCATCATATAATTCGACTAGTTACAGCCCACGCACAGACAAAAACATGTGTGTGATAGGCAAAGAGAAGAATGGTTCTTATCATGATCCTTTTGGCTTGTCAGGACATGCTGCTCTTTGATCTTCCTTCTCCAGGTACTTTCACTTGTCGCAGGAGCCATAGGACAGCTGGTTCACAATTACAGAGCCTCTGACTTATTAGTTATCAGGTCATAGCTCACAGCAATTGCTGAGGGACAGGTTTTCAGGCTTGAGGTGTTTTTTTGTTTTTAACCACAGAGAAAAATGTGGACAGTTCTTTCCCTTTCAGCTGCTCCTCCAAAAGTTCCAAGCCACAAATCATTCAGCTGTCTGAGATCCAATCACACAGTTGTTGGCAGGCAAAGTCTTTTGCCATCAATAACTGGTCACTATTTCACAAACCAATCAGCTTCTTGTTGCCAGCCAAAGGTCCATTGGTACATACCACCTGGCTCCAGCTCATCTATAACTAGATTTTCTCCACTGCTTGAACAAAGAGCTGTGTGAACAGCACTTAATGAGTGCCAGATAACTTGTTTTCTAAAAAAAAGTACAGCAATCCTTTGGTAATATTTGGCTTTTAAAGCAGTCCCTTCCAATTTCCACAATCAAAAATAAAAGGACACATTCTTTACAATTAATATATACAGCTTTGCAGCTTTCAGTACACACAAGCATTCCATCCTGCGAGCCCAACTGACAACTGTAAACTAATTATCAGCCTAATATTTTTGCATAGTCAGGATTATAGAGCAAATGTTATCCAATTGCAAATTACATCTGATGCTGGACACTGTTGAGTGTTCAGCAAGCACAGGCTGGTTGGCTATGGCCTGCACCTTGTTGTGAACTGAAGGGATCTGCATTTTGATACCATCCACCAGCTGTTGAGATACTACATACCTAAGCATCTACCAGAACTGAAATTCATACACATTATTGGTTTGCATGACAGGGAGAACATCTTTTAGACTCATTGACAGCGTCCCTTTAATAGTGAACTACCCTGGAGTTGAATATTCATTTCTACTTGGACTTCCTTTTAGTTAATCCACAGTGAAACTTACCTAACCTGTTGGGTAAACTGCTTCCTATGGCCATTTTTAAAATCAGTGTTTTTGTCTTTTTATTTAAAAAAGGAACAGAGAACCAAAATTAAAAGAACTAATGCTAAAACTGAGCTCACTAAACAGAACCTCTAGAAATAAAGACTTAATAATGCAAAGCAAACTAAACTAAACATTAAGCAATTTGGGCCTCTTTTCTTTCCCCATCCCTAATATTTGCATAAATCAAAGAAAATCTCAAGTTTATTAACAAGTATCAAGTAAGAAAGCAATATTAATTATTCTGGTGAAATGAAGCTCTAAAAAGAGAGCCAATAAATTCATAAAAGAAAATTGCAGATATCACACAATTAATACCCGATGCGTACTATAGGAAGTTAACAAAGAAATAGAATTTGGATTCATTTTAGAAAATCTGTAAATAAAAGAAAGGTAATATTAGCAAAAGTGTTGTTAGATGACTAAAACAAACGCCAAGTGGTGCACTCACAAGGAAGTAACCTGCCTTACTTATCTGGTCTAGGTTGGACTCTATATAACTCTAATACCACTGTGGTGTAAGTGAGCAAAATACTCAGTGCAGTAACAAGACCTAGCAGCACCTTTCTAAGATATTTGGCAGTGGCCAATAAAATAACGGACTTAAGCAGCAACGCCCAGATCCCAAGGAAAACAGAAAGAGAGAGACAGAAAAGGAGTGAGGGAACCACTACAGTTGGATGAATGAACAGACCACACCATGACTCTCACTCCATCACCTTCATTCCTGGCACAGCGAGTCACACACTTATTACCGAGTGAGATTTAAAAAAAAAAATAAAAATAGGTGCTCAATTCACCTTAAGCTGTCAACCAAGGTCTGCTCCTGCCCTGTAAAGGCAGGTGGACAGGAACATGCAACAAATTCCCTCACCTGAGCTCCTGGCGATTCTGCGCAGGCGCCTGCCCCCGCTAACATCACAATGGGGAGGAGGAATTCCGGGTTCCACAGCAGCCTCGTGCTGCCTGCAATCTCAGGGCTACTCAATATCACTGGGAGTCACTTTCTCTCTGCAATCCGGTCATCCACTCGTTTCTACACACACAAAAAAATTCCTCCTTCAGTTGTCCCCTGCTGTGGCAGTGTTAACTAAATCTGCTTATCGTGGATAGCGTGTTTTCATTTCATATGTCAGCTTTGCCGCAGTATTTTGCTTTTAATTTGCAGAAGGAAGTATGGACCTTCTGAAAATCTTTTAAAAATAATCATAGTTTCCTCCAACCCCCACAGGTGAAATAAATAAGAACAAAAACATGCCAGAAATACTCAGCGGGTCTGGCAGCATCTAGGGAGTGTGAAATAGTTAAGGTTTCAGGTCAGTGTTGGACCTGGAATGCTGCTGTTCATACAAGGGGTCATGTCCTCTTCAGAATTTGCCAGTTACAGCATTTTTAATATAGTTGTACTGTTGTAAGACTGAAACCATTTTGAAACATTTTTAGTATCAAAATCTCCTGTTTGTACTTGAGAACAACTGAATTAACATGGAACACACGTGGTGTTAGGAAAGCCAAATCATTCTGCATTGATTTCTGAGTTCTCTTATTCTATTATCAATAGCTGTTTATCCTCTTTTTTTCTGGAGATTCCAAGGTAATTTATGTATTTTGGGTAGGACAATGACAGCATGATTGCTTTTGAATAATCTAGTTCAAACAGTTTTTTTTTGTTCACTCTAAACCCTAAATCACCAGCCATCAAGTAAATGTGAAGTGAATGAGCAGTCATGACAATAATACAAACAATAAAGCTACTATGATCAGAGACAAAACCAACTGCAATAATACTGAGGAAATTAGCAATTTTTTTTCTTCAACAGAGTGCAAAGTATCTACTAAAACTTGCATACATAAATTCAATGACATAATTAAGGTGATGGTAGAATAACGTGTACAACATCAATAGCATTGTTTTTTTTTAGTTTCACCATCAATTCATCAAGGGGTGAATTAATTCATTTAGCCTGCAGAGTGATATGTTGTCATTGATCCTTTGATTTAATAGCCTCTTTCTTTATCCAGCCCCCAATCCCCTTTTCTGAAAACCAATTGAAATAATCAGAGACAACAAGGTGCAGGGCTG